GTGGACGAAACAGGAACAACCTCTAGCCACTTGCAATGGCTATCAACAAGAACCAGGAAGAATTGCCCCTGAAAGGGCCCAGCATAATCTATATGCACCCTAGACCATGGGGTTTGAGTTTCCTCCCATCTATGTACTGGGGCCTGAGGCATTTCAGGCCGAGACTGTTGGCACACTTGGCACCCGTGCACTTGGGCCTCGATGGCTTTATTGAGCCCAGGCCACCGAAGATGGCTGTGCACAAGCACTTTCATCCTGACTGCTTGAGGATGTCCCTCATGCAGAGAGATCAAGAGTCTAGACCTCAATGAGGTGGGATGACTACCCTGCTACCCCATAAAAGCCACCCCTTAATGGTGGACAGTGCATGTCTCCTTTGCCAAAAACTTTGAAATGTCGCATCTGGACATGTGTCAGGCCATCCTGACAACACCCATGTCAGCACATATGTAAGCGTGATCAGTGGCAGTTTCAGCAGCCACGTCCCTAGCATTGAGGGGAGATTCAGGCAACTTCTGAATGGAAAGAATATTTATGGCAGGAGCAGGGTCTGCTTCTACATGAGTTAAAGGCAATCTGCTTAGGTCATCTGCATGGCCCATTTCTTTTCCAGGTTTGTGAACTAGAGTGTAGTCATATGCTGACAAGAAAAGGGACCATCTCAGCAAACAAGGAGAAATGATATGTGGTGTCTGTTTGTTAGTAGTAAACAACCCTAACAGAGACTTATGGTCTGTATAGACCGTGAAATGGCAGCCATATAAGAAATCGTGAAATTTCTTTATGCCAGCCACTATGGCCAAGGCTTCTCTGTCAATCTGAACGTAATTCTGCTCTGCAGATGACAGAGTCCTTGAATAATAGGTCACAGGGACTTGTGTCCCATCAGCCTTCAGATGGCTAAGTACTGCTCCCACCCCATAAGGAGATGCATCACATGCGATGCAAATAGGCAGTTGCTCATTGAAATGCACTAAAACAGCATTAGAAGTGAGCAAGGCCTTAACCTCATTATAACTCTTGTCATGGACTTTAGTCCACTGCCAAGGAGCCTGCTTGGCTAAGAGCCTATGTAACGGCTCTGCCACTGCAGCTTTGTGTGGGAGACATGCATGGTAAAAATTTAAGAGCCCCAAGAAGGCTTACAGCTCACTCTTGAACTTGGGGCTTAAGGCCTGTTGGATAACTTATAGTTTAGCTTCAGCAGGATGAACGCCTTGGGCATCAATCATGAACCCTAAGAAGTCAGTGGAAGTGACTCCTATCTTGCATTTATCCTGCTTTAGCTTAAGGCCTGCTTTTCGAAAACAAAGCAAGAGAGCCCTTAATCTTTCTGCTAAATTTTGAGATGACTCCCCAGCAATGAGGACATCATCAAAATAGGGACAGACCCCAGAACTACCTCGAAGTGTGCTTTCCATGACACTTTGGAATATGCCAGGGGCTACATTGACCCCAAATTGCAGTCTCTTGACCTTGAAGGCCCCCCTGTGAGTTACAATAGTCTGGGCCTCTGCAGCTGCCTCATCAACAGGTAGCTGTTGATAGGCCTATGCCAGGTCAAGCTTCGCAAAAATGCGCCCCCCCTTGAGGGAGGCCAGGATGTGGCTTACAACAGGGACTGGATAAGCGTGCTGTTGCAATGCCTTATTCAGTGTACACTTGTAGTCTGCACATATACGTATTTCCCCATTAGTCTTTAGAGGCGTTACTATTGGAGTTTCCCATGGACTAGAATCCACAGGTTCTAAAATGCCCTGCTGGAGCAATTTGTCCAGTTCAGCATCTATCTTACCTTTGAGGGCAAAAGGTACCCTCCTAGGGTTAACCCTGATGGGCGTGATGGTTGGGTCTAACTGTAGCGAAATGGGAGGCCCCTTAAGGGGCTTGTGTATCCCTGTTTTTAGAATGCTCCTGCGCGATGCGCAGAAACCCACCCTATGTTGGCTGGGGATCCTGGTACCTTTCTGAAGCAATTCTTCCCAAGGTCGAACCTTCTGGCAACCCAAACAGACGGATGCAATGGCGGAGCGAAACCTGCAGTCAGCTCGCTTGTGGTGTCCTCCGCACCTGAAGCATTGAAGAGATGCTGGGGCCTTGACCGGATGTCCCTTCTGCCTCCTCTCAGCTGGCTGGTGAAGTTTGTCGACCTCCTCTTCAGGATCCACTTCTGATTCTTCTCAAGCGTCCTCTTGATGGATGGTAGCTGTTTCTGGAGGATTCCTGGTGAGGCACAAGGCCTTCACAGCCCCGCCTGCTGCTTCCTCAGCTGACACCTCTCGCAACGCATCTTGGAAGGAGACATCTTCCTTTGAAAAAATCTTTTGTTTTAAGTCTCTGCTCCTTAAGCCGCAGATAAAGCCTCTCCTCCAGATCCTTGAACTCACAAGGTCTGGTTGCTTGCCTTAAGGTCACAATAAAGTCTGCAGCAGATTCACCTGGCCTCTGGTCTCTCTGCTCGAACGCGTGCCTCCAAGCAATGATGGATAACTTCGGCTGGAAGTGTTCCTTCAACATTTTCTTCAAGTCAGCATATGCTACTGTCTCCAGAGATGCAGGGGCCACCAGATTTTCTGTGATGTCAAAAGCTTCTTGTCCACAGGCACACAAAAGAGTTGCTGCCTTCAGGCCATCTTCTCTGATCTGATTTACTCTGAAGTAATTCTCCACCCATGCTACATAGGAATTCCATCTCTCTGGGTGGGAGACATCAAAATCAGTCAAGTGGCCAATCTTCGGCATCATAAAGTTTACAATCTTCACCACTCACTTCCTCTACAAGTTGCTATTTGGAGAAAGGGTTCTTTAGCCAAGCTCACCCTCCAGCGATGCTATACTGGCAGGCTGGGACGCTGATTCAGGCGCTGTCTTCCCCACTTCAGGACTTCCTGGGTAAGTCCTTAAATCTTTTTCTTCAGCTTGCAAAGGATCCCACCTTTGTCGCCAGTGTTGAGTTCTCCGTTCAAGTGCGAATGATGAAGACACATGGTGACAACTAATCAATACTTTATTCTCCTACTCCAACTCCAAGCAAAAAGCAAAAGGCACGCAGGCCTTTTTATAGGGCTTGAACCCTGGACAGAGTGAACCAATAAGAGTTCTTCTTCCTTCGCGCCTTGTGTATGCACACAAGGCTGACGCCGCTCTGTCTGGTCCCGGGCAGTTTTTAGAATGCCCGGGACCATTTGCAACAATTCTGGGCCTGCTGACACAACAGAAAGGTCTCACCCGGATCATCCACGGTGGTTCAATGCTTAGATGGTCTTGTGACTTTCGGCTGGTGCAGCTGCATGATCGGCCATCTTGCAGGACGATTTTTGCTCCGTCGGCCCTAAGGAGTCTGCTGGAGTCACGGGACAAGCTGCCACCTTCCTGCAGTCACCAGAAAGCCTCCTCATCAGTGGTCACCCCTCCAGGGCGATTTTCAACCCCCTTCGGGTCTACCAGCAAAGAAGAATTGGCCGGTGAAAAGACGAGTCTCTTAACACGACTGCAGTCGCTGCAAACTGGAACCAGAAGTGATTCTATTCCTTTATTAATGTAGCCTAGGACTGCATTTGTTTTTTTGGCAGCTGCAGCATACTGATAGTTTGTCCACTAGGACTCCAAGATCCCTCTCGCAGTTACTACTGTTGAGCCAGGTACACCTATTCTATATTTGTGCATTTGGTTTTTCTTGCCTAAATGTAAAACCTTAATTTTCTCTACATTGAATTTCATTTTGTTAGATAGGGCCCAGTATTAAAGTCTGTCAAGATCCTTCTGTATCTTGGGTCTATCTTCTAGAGTGTCATCTGCAATTTGATGAGTTCCCCTTCTATTCCCTTATCTAAATCGTTGTTGAAGATATTGAAGAGTACAGTGCCTAAGACAGAACCTTGGGGTACCCCACTGCATACTTCCCTCCATATAGATGTAGTTCCATTAAGGACTACATGCTGAGTGCGATTGGTCAGCCAGCAATAAATTTGGTGATGCTGGTGATGCATGTGGTGATGCTGTCTAACCCACATTTTTCTAGCTTATTAAGTAGTGGATTGTGGTCAACTTTATCAAGTGCCTTACTGAAGTCCAAGTAAATTATATTCACAGCATTTTGCTGATGCATTAATTTTGTCACTTTGTCAAAGAATGTAATAAGATTATGTATCACAAGAAATTCATATTAAATATAATCTCTACATCCTGGAAAATCTGGGATTTCTTCATTAGCTTTGTGGCCTCTTTTATGCCACATTTTATTATTGGATTTTCATGCTAGAGAGGAATTGTGGGATTTATAAATCAATGTATTTGCAGTTTATCAAATTCAGAAGATTGGTATACACAAGCACTCCATCTTTTATGAGATCATTCAAAGGTCAGAAGAAAACCTGTGAGCAAGAATCAAGAATGGAGCCAATAGTCCTTTCCTGATTCATTCAAATTAATTCATTCTGTTAACTCACTCTGTTAAATCCAATTTTGTTTGCTTGGGAATTCTTGTCACTTTTGAAAAGACCATTGATCCTGAGCCATGTTTTCCTGTGTTCCAAAGTTTGTTAAGGAGAATCAAGTAAGATATCATAATTAACTGTATGTCTTAAATTAGGGATAGAATTCAAGCCTATGACAGATATCAAATAAGAATTTGCATTTAAAGTATATGAATAATTCAGCAGTAATCCAAGACCAGACTTTTCCTATAATCTCAACAATAAAAAACCTTTTCTGTTCATGCACATCACATGTGTAGTATTAAATAAAATGTTATTAAAACAACAAATGACAATTTAGTTCTGCAAACTGTTAAGATCTTCTGTTATTGTTATATAAAGAAACCCACATATGAACCAAAACTTACAAAAAATTATTTGCTATAGACCAGCTGATTCAATTAAGAATGCCAGTGACTGTTTTGCTTGCCTAGTCAGAATATCTCATTTTATAAGACATTCTCTTTCATCATTTGTTTCATGCAATTTGCACCACTCAGTCACCACTTTGCTTTTGTGTTTCAGACAATGTGTACAGAGAATGTTTTGCAAATGGGACCTGGGCAGCCCGTGTGAATTATTCTCAATGCCAAGAGATCCTCCATGAGGAGGTAAGGACTATTGTTTGATAACCAGATAACAGTGCAGTAATGCACTATAAAGAGGTATATAGGTAGACCTCAGTTCAGCAGCCATAACTGAGCCCAAAATTTCTATTCCTAAGTGAGACAGTTATTAAGTGAGTCTTGCCCCATTTTATGACCTTTCTTGCCACAGTTGCTAAATTAATCACTGCAGTTGTTAAATTAGTAACACAGTTGTTAAGTGAATCTGGCTTCCTCTATTAACTTTGCTTGTCAAAAGGTCACTTGACTTTTGGACACAGCAACTGTCATAAATATGAACCAGTTGCCAAGCATCTGAATTTTGAGCATGTGACCATGGGGATGCCATGACGATCGTAAGTGTGAAAAATGGTCATAAGTCACTTTTTTCAGTGCTGTTGTAACTTTGAATGTTGTAACTAAACAAACTGTTGTAAGTTGAGGACTACCAGTATAAGTTTAAGTGCTATTGCTATTATTTGAAGCAAATGATACAAATCTATAATATTATTTTATTAATACAAATATGGACAGTAGAGCTATACAGATTTCAAAAGTTGTTTGGAAAAATTGCTTTATACCTCATGCCAGCACAGCATTTTGCTGTTTATTAAAGCAGCTACAGCTGGCGAGCTTGGAAAATAAAAGAAGATATTGCTGCTTTAACGAATCGGATCATTAACTGAGGTCTTTAAAGCCTTTTAAAGTACATGCATTGTTTTTCTATTGCATATGGAAGTCTGAAAAAGACAGGCTATTGTTATGAACAATTGAGAGTCTCAGGAGTTTTCAAGGTCCAAAACATTTCATCTGAATCATTTTCAGAATGTACATAGGTCTTAACAATCAACAGATCAAAGTAATTCATGGTTTCTGTTTATTTAATTAAACAGAAGAGAAAAAGGGAAACTAAAAAAAGTAAAACAACAACAAATGTGTGTTTGTGTGTGTGCTTGAATACAGTACATTTCACATGTAAATGCAGACAAAAAATTTTGCACTAAAAGTTCAATCAAGGATGCACTTGTTCTGTTTAATTAAATAAAGAAGGCAGTATTAGATATTCATATAGGTACATTTGGTAAGATAGTGCAGTGTAATGGCTAGAATGCTAGACTGGGAGCAGAAAAATATATTTTCAGTTACATCTTATGGTTCTAAGAATTTGTGTTTTTAAATAAAAAATGTAACGAGATTTGCAAAATTCTTTTTACATGGAATGGAAATAATCTGAGATTTAAAACAGGTCTGGGATCCCCAACGCAGAGGCTGATACACTATGCTCACAAATATTTCCTACCATGACTATCATCTTCTTTGTCTTTAGAGACTTTTTATTTTTTTAAAAAATAATAATTTTAAAGAATAAGTATTCTGCAAAGCAAAAAAAAAAAACCCTTGTCTCCAATATTTTCCTTATTTCCAAAAATGCTTCTGAGCCCCAAATGCTCCATAATGCTTCCTAAAACATAATAATGGTGGACAGCTAAAGCATAGTATTTTGTTTGAAAGTGTGCCCACTTATTTAACATAAAAATAGAGATATGGACAGATAGTTGGAAACATCCTGGCCGCAGAATCTTTAGGATATGACAGGTATCATTTGGGTAACTTAGAACTTTGTAAATGATTGTATCCATATGGCAACCACATGAGAAGCTTTTTAAGGAGAGGCTGGGCAGCAATGGGATTTTTATTTCAGGCCTTGCCTGCACTGAAGTTGGCCTAGGAAATCTTTGGTGGTTTGTCGGTCATTAGGACAAGAACTAGTGGCGAGTGCAAACATTTCCTGGCTTTACAGGTTCTGCATGAGGGCAGGAGGTGAAGAAAGGATGCAAGGCTTTTTTTGTTGTGTGGCCATTAAGTGGAAAATCCCAGAACGCTGTTAGTTAATTAGAATTTAACCAAGGTTCCTGGAAACATGATATATCCACTGTAACAATTAAATTTAGCTGTCCTTGGGGGTCTGGCTAGAAATCACAGGAGAGGAGGACTAAGTAATTAAATTAGCCAACTGCCCTGTTGTGAGACTGGCATCCACTGTGTGAATTAGCAATTAATGTGGAGAAAAATAGCTGGCCCTTTCAAAAAAAAAAAAAAAAAAAGACTTTAGCATCTTTGATAGAAGACTGCTGCAAGTAATTCTGTTCCCCTACCTGCGCACACCTTCTTTTCCATTTTTGGAGGTCTATTTAGGCTGCCTTTCAGAAGGGTGAAACATCACCATGCAGCAATCTGCATTTCTGAAAAATCTCAGAGCACTTTCCTCTTGTCTATGGCTTTTCTTCTGTCACTTCCCAATGCATCTTTCAGCAAAACATTGTTCTCTTTCATTGGTATGATTGCGCATAGTTAATCTTGAAGCTTCTGTTAATCAATTTCACTAGAGCCTGGGACCGATCCAGGAAAAACATCCTTCTTTCCATGATGCATAGTTAAACTATAGAATTAATTGCTATTGAATGTGTTAGCAAGCAAATAATACTTAGAGGGCAATTGCTAATGCTGCTCCTAGTAAAAGATTGCCTATAAAATGTTTTGGACCATCAGTTGGGTAGCTGAGACATTACACTGCTGATCTGAGCCTTTGGCAAGCAATCACTATTGGGGTCAGAGGAAGCTTAATAAAAATCTGGCCTTGATCTATCTTTTCTACTATGTTCCCACTGATGCTAAATTCTTTAATACAGTAGTTCTTCTTGGAGGTTCCAGATTCAAATCTGGATCATTTTCTTTGGATCTGAAACGGGGGCCCAGCAATTTTGAAATAAAAACTGGTGACCATATTCTAGAATCACCATATTCTAGAATCATATTCTTGTCTTATTTCCTATACATCCTCTTGATCTCCTAAACCAGGCTTTTCAATCTTTTCACCCATTGTACCACTTTTAGGATATGGCAACATCTATGTACCACCAGTCACCTAGCAAGCTGTCAAAAACTTGATGACCCAAAAAAAAAAGGAAAAAAGTGATAAAGTGCAGGTAGTCCTCGACTTACAACAATTTGCTTAGTGACTGTTTGAAGTTACAATGGCACTGAAAAAAATTGCCCCCCAAGCCACAGCCGAGCAAGACACCTGCCTGTCCGCCCGGCGGCGCTCTTCCTCCTGTCCAAGGTTTTCATTGTTGTGAGCATTTCTGTTGAGGATTGGCAGCGGGGGTGGGGTGGGGGTGGGTGTTTGGTTTTTATTCCCCCGTCTGCTGGGTGGTTGCAGCAGGTTTTGGTCACTTCACATAACCCTGGGACACTGTGACCATCTTAAATATGAATCAGTTGCCAAGCATCTGAATGTAAATCACAAGACCCTGGAGATGCTGCAACATTCCAGCTAATCAGCACTTCTTCTGGGCTCAGCAGAAGTGCCAGGATCAGCACCGAGCTCCAGCTGGAGCCTGGCACTGATCCTGGCGCTTCCACTGAGCTGACAGCCCCAAAGAAGTGCCGATCAGTTGGAAAGCAGTACTGATCCTGGCGCTTCCGCTGATCCCTGACAGCCCTGCAGCTCCAGCCATCTCTTGCTCAGGCTTGTGCGGTGCTGCCACTGGTTCAGCTCATTCCCCTCCCCGCTACCACTTTTCTAGGATGGTCGCATACCACCTGCCAGGTGCCAATGTACCACAGGTGGTACCAGTACCACTGGTTGAAAAGCTCTGTCCTAAACAACTCTTATGTCTTTCCTATTGCAGAAGAGAAGCAAATTGCATTATCACATTGCTGTTGTGATTAACTACCTTGGGCACTGCATTTCTCTGGGGGCATTGCTGGCAGCTTTTATCCTCTTCATGCGACTTCGGTGAGTATGCACAAAGGTGTAGGATCATTAGATGAAAAGATCTCCCTTGAAACCTGACAGCTGGGATGGGATGGTGAATGGTTTCTTTTCTCCTGCAGGAGTATCCGATGCCTACGAAATATTATCCACTGGAACCTGATCACTGCTTTCATCTTGCGGAATGCCACATGGTTTGTGGTACAACTCACCATGAATCCAGAAGTGCATGAAAGCAATGTGGTAGGTTCAAGCTGAATTTGACACAAAATTACTTTAAGGTACAGTTTGAGAAATGATAGAACCTTCAGTTTTTGAGGTCTCAATTAGTTAGATCAGTGGTGGCGAACCTATGGCACTGGTGCCAGAGGCAGCACTCGGAGTCCTCTCTGTGGGCACACGTGCCATTGCCCCAGTCTTCCCTCCCCCTGCGACCCCCTCAGGAGCAGCCCCCCTGAAGGAGAGTCGCCCCCAAGTGTGGCCCACACAGAGCAGTGCAGCCAAGGATACTGCGGGGTGTGGGCAGAGGGCGTGGCCACTATGGCGATGCTGGGCAATCTGCAGCAGGCCCTGGAGGCGGTGAGTGGCCCTGCAGGCAGGTGGGGTGGGGGCGGAACGGGGGCAGAGCAGGGGGTGGAGCGGGGCGGGGGCAGTTTTTGGGCACTTGGCCTCTAAAAGGTTTGCCATCACTGACTTAGATTGTTATGAAAATCAAATCTTAAAAAGATCATAATAGTATACTGAAAAGCACTTTAAAGGACTTCAAAGATGCTACAGAAAATGAAGCTTCTAATTAGCTTGATGGCAAAGGACGGATTTCTTATGCCAAATTCTAGTTTCAATCCTTGGCATTAGCTGGGAGAAATCTCTGGAGAGACAGAAACAGTGTAGCATAGCTAGCCCAGCAGTTTACTAATAAGTCCTATGGTTCACATGCAGCCCTCAGAATGTGTGGAATCAATAGTTATGGTTTCGTTCTTTCTGTTTTGCGTGTTGGGAGGGAACTTAAGCAGGTTAAACGGTTGCATTAACCTTGCAAAAGCTTGATATAAACACTCTACCCTTTAGGATCCTGATCTCCTCACAGAAAAATTGGCTCTAGCTGTGCCCATGTTTTGAAGTCTGGGGCATGACGTTCTTCACCACGCCTGGCAGAGCCCATACACAAATGAAAATTGGATACCTTTGGCTTAATTCATTACAGGCTGGCTGCCTATTTTTATTTTTAAAGGCACACTTTGATAGATTGCTATGACAACATAAATGGTTGAATCAGGCAGGTTACTATCTATAAGGGGATAAGGAACCTATGGCTTTTCTGAATTTGACAGGTTGCACTTCCCTGTGTATATGATCATTGACCTAACCTTGATGGACCTTGATGGAAGATTAAGTTAAACAATAAATGGAGGACTATATGTCCCTACTCCTGTTTTGTATGTTTCAGTAAGGAACCTGAGAATCATCAATAACAGCCCAATCTTTTGCTGTAAATACCAGTGTTTGGTAGAGTTAAAAAAGCCAGTATGGTAGTTGTGGTAGCAATCAAGACTGTTGTGGCAGTGCAATCAAGACAGTCTTGTTGACATTTTTTTCCTACTACTGGCTGTCAAACTCTTAAAATTGCACTACAGTAAAAATAGGGAACATGATTTTTTTTTTACAAATTTCAGAACATGCTGTTTGTAGGAATCTACCTAATTTTTCCTGCAAATGACTGAGAAATATATGAAGATTTTTTCCTATTTTTAGACCCACTTAATTTTCCTGCCTTTTGCCTTCTAAGAAAAGCCAACACTTTATTTTAGATATTAGTACTGTTTCCCCCCATGCTTAAAATCTCACCATTTTAAATGCAGCCTGTCTTCACTCTTGGCCTGTAATTTTTGGCCAGATAATATAACTCCTTCTTATGTAGCACTGCACTCCTTTTAAATGATTGGCTCATTCATCTGAGGTTGCTGTTTCCTAGACATGACATTCTACTCAGCAGTTTCTGTGACTTACAGTAATCTTGTTACAAAACAAATTTTAGGAAAGTTGCACAATTTAAACTGTAAAAAAGCAACTCCAGCACATTAAATTTCTAGGCATATTATTGAAGATAAGCAGAATGATTGGCACTGGACAAATATAAATTTGTCAAACTTTTATACAGAAAAATAGAATAATAAAAATAAAACTAGAATAATAAGTTGTATTATTAGTGTTTTAATGCCTGGTCTCAAAGTAACAAAAAAGAGGAGAAAGAAATGATTTTTTTTATTGTAAATTCTGGCAATTTTAACTTGGTATCTCTTTATTAGTCTGATTGGCAAAATACTGTAAGAGATGCTTTCCAAAACTGTTTAATACTATGATTTAGTCAAATTTTTGCTAGTTTGGAGCATTAAGAAAGAACTATAGTTAGCAACAAAGTAGATAGGGCTTTTTATGCCCAACATAAGCTTTCGTAATGTACTGCATTTTAGATAAGATATCCCACAATACCATGAAAATGATGTTCAGCACAAGAAGAACATTCAATGAATTTCAACTATCGGCAGGGTTGACTATGGATAGACTTTGGTTAGATTATTCGTAAATTAAAGAAAATATGGAGCATTCCCTCCTCCAATAACAACAACTCTACTAGTTAGATTGAGCTGAGATACAGTGACTGGCTTGGTTATCCCATGGACATTCATGGGTACTGGTGACCTTGATCCTTTACCACACCTTAAGCATAATGATTCTTAACTGCCTAATCAGAAGCATCCTAGAACTCCCATTAATGAATTCTGCTTGTCCTTCACACTGTAGCCATGGTGCCGTCTGGTCACAGCTGCCTACAACTATTTCCATGTCACTAACTTCTTCTGGATGTTCGGTGAGGGATGCTATCTGCACACTGCTATTGTTCTCACCTATTCAACAGACAAGCTGCGGAAGTGGATGTTCATCTGTCTTGGCTGGTGTGAGTGGCGAGAAGAAGGGTGGGAGAGGGTTGGTGCATCCGAGTAAGTTTACTCGATGATGGGAGGCCTCTGCTGAAAAGAATTCCCTCAGTGTATCCAATTGGCATAGATAGGAAGAGAACTCAATCTATCGGGAGATATCTGGTAAAACAAAGAAATATACAGGGACATCATCATGTCATTTTTTAATTTAATCATACTTGAACTGGCATAAAAGTTGGATACCAGGAGGAGGGGAGGATATTCTGGAAAGCACCAATTGGGGAAGGTGTTATAATCATTATCACTCTTAATTACCCCTTTTGATTCAGGAGTGTCCTGAGACATTTCATGGCCTGAAATGAAGAGTAACTCTTATGAAATAATCTGCTGCTGCCTCTTAATACCCACCATCCAGCATCCAACATGATTCTGTTTGTGTAGTAGAACTTTATACACCCTACAGAACATTTCATCTTTATTACTACTGGTATACAAATTCTGGACCCAATTTTGCCACTGCAAAAATTCAGAAATAATCTATCATATTACTTTTATTGCTGATACTGAGAAATAGAAAGAGATTCTGTGGTTAAATCATGATAATATATTGATATCCAAATGGTCTTGATCCTACTATTCTGCAGACCCTTGGGTGATATGTGAGTGTTCTAGACTTTGTAATGGGAGCCCTTGTTTCCTGGGTACAGTTGTTGTTTTTTTTGTAAAAGTTTTTATTTTCAATTTTACAATACATAACAATCTTACAAATACTTCAGATAAAAAATAAAACAAATTGATACACACCACATTCGGTCTTGCCCGCCCATTTCCCCCCAAACCGCATCCCACCTCAAACCAACTTACTTCTTTCCCTCTTTTTCTTCACTCACCCCCTCTCCTCCTTCACCTCCACCTTCCTACTTACTTCTCACCTTCTTCTTCTCCCTCTTGATGCAGTCCAGGGGAAATGCCCGAGCAGTTCCTCTCTCAAAATTAAAACATTAATATTATATACAATAAGACTATTTCTACTTTATCTGAACTACTTAAACTTCAACCCATCCACCCCCCGCCCCCCTCCCCCCACCCCCTCCCCCCCGACTTCCCAGAGCAAAATACAGAATTATGCAAACATATTAAACATATCTTAAAATATGTGACTTAAAGACCGAATCTACTTTCTTATCAAAAATTAAATATGCATGCCAACCATATAATAAATCCCACCCTTCAAGAACAAGAATATCTCTATTTGTTAAATTAAGCCAGTCACTTACTAAAGTTAAAGTGGCCACATCATAATATAATTTCAAATTTGGCGCTTTAAGTCTACCTCTTTCTCGAGCATCTTGTAAAATCTTAAACTTTATTTAAAAATCTTAAACTTGATTTCTTCCCACCCCAAATAAATTTATTAATACCCTTCTGCCACTCATCCAAATTAGCATCCTTCTTTAAAATGGGTATCATCTGAAACAAAAAAAGAAACTTTGGTAGAACATTCATCTTCACTACTGAAATTCTCCCCAAAGTACAGTTGTTTTATTGTTGTGGTTTTTGCTTCTATTTGGATGCTTTTAATACTTCGGTAAGCCACGTTAAGTGGCAAGCTGACTTAAAAGCTCTATAAATAGAAGAAATAAAGCAATAAATAAATTATGTCCCTATTGAAATGAAGTACAACAGCTTTTTAAATGTTCAAGGAACTGCTTTGGTAACAAAATATGAATGTAAACTCAGAATCATAAATTAATCTTTGTAGTTGCCAAAAAGTCAACACTAACATCATCAAGAGTCAACACTGACTTGATGGCACACAATCAATTTGCACAGATTCAGTGTATTCAGAACACCCACAAAACTGCCCCAGAACCATCTAGACCAGAGGACTCCAACCTTACTGGGCTCACGGCCCGGAGGGAAGGAGAGCAGCTTCCAAATTGGTGCATGCATGTACATGCACGCAAACAGGGCCACACACACTGACACGGCACTAGCAGCCCTGCATATGCATATGGCATATGCTGGTGCCGTGTGCATGTGCAAATGGCCAGGCACCCCCACAGAAGCTAGCAGGCCATTCATGCATGCACAAATGGGCTGCATACCTTGCCTGGGGCTAGCGTTTGCGCATGTGCAAATGGGCCATGCACACCCAACCAGCAATAGTGGCCCTGTTCATGCCCACATGCATGTGCAAATAGAGCCGTGGGTGCTAGCGTGAGTGGGGGGCATGAGCACCCACACATGCGAGCACTAGCCAGCTATTTCTGTGGTCCACTGGCCAAGAGCCCACAGCCTGGTCCCGGGCTGCGTCCTAAAGGTTGGGGACCCCTGATCTAGACCAGTCTTATCATTGGGCAAAGAAAGCAAGAAGCCCTTTTTCATGCTATGAAAATATGCCACCATAAGTGCTACAATAATTTTATTGGCTTTTGGCAGAACACATCTTGTGTTCGATCAGGTTTCCATATGCTGCTTCAGCCATGGGAGCAAAATGTCCAGGTTCAGGAAATAATGATATTTCTGGTTGTTTGTGTGGATAGAACTGGATCCTCTCATGTTCAGCCTGTTGTTGGATCTTGTGTTGATATTACCACTAAAACCTATTTGTTCCATTCACAGGCATCCCTTTCCCCATCATTGTTGCCTGGGCCATTGGAAAACTCTACTATGACAACGAGAAGTAAGTCAATCCCACTCCCACTTTTCTGCTACTATGGTAATGACTTCCAAATCAAACTTGTGTTGCCATACAGTGGGTGGGTGTCCTGCTGGCACCCAAGAAGCATGAATCACTTTGCAATCAAGAACAGTCTGAAATTATTTCAGAAGGTTAGGTAGGAGGGGAAAGTAGCCCTACTTACAGGCCTCACCTTATTCAATGTGGTTACTTCTTTTCTCCCACTTCTTTCTTGATGCATGAATCTGACCAAAGCAATTTATCTGTGCAAAATATAGTTTTTCCATTTTCAGATTGTCTGCAAATCAGAAGTTGCCTTGGATTGCAATGTCCAAGTAGAACGTTAGTTACTGAGGACAGAGCCTGTTTATAAATATATTAGAATGTATATGGTGCCTTTCCTCGAAGCGATGATGGTAGCTTACATGGAGTTGAGTTTTCCCATCATTTCTTCCATACAGGAACAACCCTGTGAGGTAGGCTGAGCTGATAGCAAGTTACTGCAATTTACCTAGTGAGTGTTCATGCATAAGAGTGGATTTAAATTTGATTGCCCTGGTTCTAGTGCAATGTCTTAATGATTATACCACACCAGCTTCTGTTAAAAGAATTGTAATTGGTTTACAGTTAATCAGTTAAAAATACAGCATACAAAATAAAACAACAAACAGAACATTAAAACAATGCAAAGTAAATGCAGCATCAGAAACATTTAAGGAATTCCTTTTTCAAGTTGGGTAGAAAGAGGAATTTCCACAATGTGATTATTATGTTCAGATGTTGCAGGGAATGTAACTTCTACTTGAAAAGATACCTTGCTCTAATAAAGCTATTTCTTTTTTTTCCCCAAAATTTTATTTATAATACAATTAAAAAACATTGGATATAACGTGACATTCATCCAGTATATACATTCTTATCAAATCATTCCACATTTTACAATCGATTCTTCATTTCTAGATATACATCTAAGTTTTATATACAGTAATTATTCTAAAATAACATATATTTCTATCTTAACACTAGTCTTTAATCCCAACCGTCCTCCTCGAATTTCTCCAGCGGTAAAATTTATCCCAGGTTTCGAAATAAACTGATCCACATTTGTCTTTCAATACCATTGTGAGCCTGTCCATTTCCTCACATGCTAATATCTTATATAGTAACTCTTCCTCTGTGGGGATTTCTTTGCTCTTCCATTTTTGCACAAATGCAAGCCTAGCTGCAGTCAAGATGTGTAGCAGCAAGTCGATTGTTCCCTCTAATAAAGCTATTCCATAGGTCTTTCTTGTTGCTACATTGAAGAAGCAGGATATGAAAAGCACTGATGTTTTTGAACTCTGATGCTGAAGAAGACTTTTGAGAATACCATGGTCAGCCAAGAAAATAAACAAATGGATTGTGAAGAAATCAACCCAGGTTTTTCACTCAAGTCATGATTTAGGCTCAGTTTACTATACATTTGGACACATCACACAAAAATCTACAGTAGCTCTCATGGAAAAGTTGAAGATAACAAATATCAAGGTGGATGGACTAATTTACAGACAATAGGTGTGTCAATGGAAGACCTGAAGAAATATGTTATTAACAGATTATCCTGTAGAAAAACTCTCAGTGTAGTTGCTATGAGTTGATATTGACTTGATGGCACATAATAAATTGTTGCTACTTCTCATCCCAATCCATCTCGCAGGTTTGCTGTGTAAATAAAGAATTATGTATCACAATATACAACATATATTAAGTCATTAATATTTTTTCCACTTCTTTCAGCTTTCAAATACATAACACAGCTGTAACTCTGCCTGCTTTGTTCCTCAGAGATATAAATGTCACAAATACTTGATACAAATAAGGTATTTGATTCTTCTGGTACTCTTTAGTACTTTACCTCTTTTAAGATGGCAGTAGAGGAGAAATAGCAACATCTGTGGCATAAGTCATGTGGCAGAATAGGAAATCTACTCTCCAGATCTTTAGGGCTGCATCTCTTATCACCTTCAACCTGCATGTTGATGGTAGGGGATTATAGATGTTGCAGTACAGATTTTCTAAAGATACCTGATGTCTTGCCTCTGGGGTCGCTCATGTGCTTTGGCTCAAATATGTAGTTCCTTACCAATCCAAATTAGGGAAAATAATCTCATAAATCTGTATTTACTGTAGTAAAGCAAGATTCTAGTCCCATTAAAACAAATAAGCTTGAAATACTGTATTGTATTTTTCCTGAAGGGCAAAATGGTACAGGCAAGGAAGGGTCAATCTTTTCTTCACCTCAAATATCATGGCGTAAATCTAACTTCTTTTTTTCCCCTTCACTGTTAATTATACACCCTGCTGCTGCTTTTAAAAAACCTATAAGGATCTAAGCCTGGAGCTTCAATATCCCAATCTAATTCAACCTTTATTATTAGGGCTCACTCAGTTGGTCAAGTTTCAAGGTGCTGTGAGGTTTTTTGTGACTGTGTCTAACAAAAGTGGAATGGTTAATGAAAACTGAACACATTTTGGGGGCGGGGGGAGTATACCATTCAGTCACAGAGTAGAATTCAGCCAGAAAGGGAGTAACAGACCAGACAGACCAAGTACCTCTAATGAAATCCCAAAAGGGGAGACTCATTTAAACAACATTCTAGTTTAACAAGAGCAGATGAGGTGTTTTCCCTACACCCTCAGGCCTCCATTCCCAAGGATTTGATAGTGGCAGACTTAGCAGCCTCCTGGCAAGCCTATTCCATAGTAATTAATCAAGCAGACAAACAGGATTGATTTCAGCTGCCACCTTTTACCTTAATTGCCAGGCCTGGTTTTCATTTCCATGCTAAGTTCTAACTGAGGTCATAGCTGAAACCAGGTTACAGTCTTGTAATCAGGTAGGAGCTGCTTAAAAAGCATTCCTCATTTGGGATAAAAGGTATGCCACTTTCTCTGCAACAGCACAGCAGATGCAGACATGGGCATTTTGAAGACACTGGCTAGCAAACTTTATCTGTTTGAGTGGTTGAGAAACTGCAGGAATAAAGGACCTGATAAGAATTGGGGGACATGGGAAAAGATGAGTTAATATTGCTCCTCCTCCTCCATACTACAGTCCAAAGAAAAAACAGAGACATTGGCAGCTAGAACCACCTTAACCCATATTTAATGATATGATTTTGACCTAAGCAGGATTTATTGGAAGTTTTGCTTATCAAAATAGGGTGGATGGTTCTATTAACCTTTTCAGTTAAGAATAACCTATCACCAGTGAAAGTAAAATGGGACAGTGTAGAATATTCTACATTAGTTAGGTATCAGTGGATACCTCTGTTGGTGCTGCTATCTTTTATTTAGCAGAAAGTCTCTTGGTCCCATAAAGCATTCTTAGAAAATAGAAACAATACAAAAGTTTTTTGGGAAGCCTTGACATGGAGAATGAAAGTGCTGTTTGGAATTTTCTCTAGTTTATTTTCTGGTACATGAGTGCTTTTTGACTGGTTACATCTTATCTACCAGAAGGTAAACCAGAAATTGATCTCTATCTGATCACATCATCTCAGTATTTCAGATGTCCTTATTGGCTAATGGTGTACTTTATGCTCAGCAGATATTATTTTTCTTGGTGTGTACTTTACAACATGTACTTTACAATGATACAGGATGTTTTCCTGTGATTTGAAAGAGATTTAGTGGGGGAGAAGCTGCCATGCTTGAAAGGTCCAGCAGTTGGAAGTGCTTAGCTTTTAATAAAACGATTAAAGAAATATTTTATCACACATAAATATTCTGGACTATTGTAATAGCAGTGAATTTATTAGTAAGGCAGTGTCTACTGATAAATATAAAATATGGTAGATTTTTTTATTCTTAATTTACATTTTTTTATTTGATTTTTTCAACTTCACCTTGTTTATCTCAAGGCAGTGAATAGACTGTATCTTTTATTTTTCTAAAGTTTTTTTGAAGAATAAATATTATTTTGTTACAAAAATAAAGTTATTAATTTTTTTAAAAAAATATTCTGGACTATATTTTACATTCTCTCCTAGAGCAAATTATGGCTTTGGAGTAGGGCTGGCAGTAGACTATGAATTAATCAAAAGTTATTTTTCGTTGCCTTGCTTTTCTGGAGAGGGGCTAATTGTTCAATCTCCAAAGGCAGGCAGCATCCAAAGAGAGAGGTTTTTTTTTTTTAATGTTATTGGACAGATTGTAAGTATTATTTAACATAGCTGGATTTGGGTCTTGAAGTCTAGCTCTGCTTCAGGTATATTTAAAGTCAAGTCCTTTATTTATCTCAATACTTTTAAAACTTGGCAACTTTAAGATGTGTGCACTTCAATTCCTAGAACCGCCCACCTGAATTCTGAAAATTGGAGTCCACGTATCTTAAAAGTGCCAAGCTTGAAAAACACTGATTTATCTGTGTTTTAATTTGCAGGTGCTGGTTTGGAAAGCGCACAGGAATTTACACTGATTACATCTATCAAGGTCCAATGATACTGGTGCTGTTGGTAAGAGTGGAAGCTCCCTCCTGTACAATGCCAAGAATTTCCTTAGGGTAACCAGAGGCAAAAGAAAGGAGCATTCCCAATACAGTAATTATGAATGAAAGAAAGAGATCTGGCAGGGTCAGTTAATTACAGGTAGCCCTCGAGTTACGAATATAATGGAGCCTGCCAATTACATTCATAACCTGAGAATTCAGAGGAGCGAATGGCATAACTTGAACGCCATCACTCCCTGCTTTCGCCCATGCATTTGCTAGTCAAATGTGAGGGTTGTTAAGTGCACCTGAGGTATCTCAGGGTGGGGAAGGCCATGGGGGAGGCCTTGTGCAGGGACAGGTCCACTGTGTCCAGTCACCAAAGGCTTCCCCCCAACATACCATTAAGAGACCGCACGCTCCTCTTTCCAACGCTTGGGCCTTTCCACCCCACCTGTCACTGACTGCTAATTTATCTTGGGCGTCAAATTTGAGAGCCCCGCACTTCCCACGATTCCTTGCACGGAGTCGTCTAGCCAGGTGGAGCACTGCCGGACTGGCCTCTCCCCTTCCCCATTGAGCTCTGGCCTCTCTCACAAGGCTGGAAGTTCTGATTGAACTTTTTTTTAATCCCACAAACTTCTTTTGTTTCCCTGCACATTTCTTCCATTTGCCACGCAGTGTTTTTTAAGTGGCACAGCCAAGAGCAGCGGTCAGGCAACGGAAGTTATTTCCCATTCCATTCTTGCTTGGAGCAGAACCAGGATTAAACGGAGCACAAAAGGAGCTTCACCCAGACATTTGAGGTCAGCTTCCCATTCTCCCCAGGCTGCCTCCAGTTCCAGTTTAGAGGCAGAGGCTGTGAATGGGATTCCAGACTGGCGGCGTCATGCTTGCAATGAGGAGTGAGCTGGTTCCACCAACCTGCGTTATGCAAAGCTGCAAAGGCATTGCTGTGCCCTACACCTCTGCAAAATCTCCATTTTTGAGATCTTGCAGCAAGGCTGCGGGGAGGGAGGCAGAACCGGGTCGGCCAAGCCTCATTCCTTTCAATCTAGAAACTAGACAGAGGCAGTCAGTTTCCTCTGAGTGATTTCTTTCCACTCGTATCCAAATAGGAGCAAGTGCTACAAAGAGAGGCGAGCTGGGGGATGGCATGCCAAGCTCTCCAGCTCCATGGCAGTGGAGAAACATGACAGAGCTGGAGAGTAGGATTGTTTAATAGCCCCTCTTGCAATTTGGGGAAGGAGTGAATGCTTTTGGCAAGCGAGGGGAGCAGGGCGGTGGTATGCTAAGCTTTTCAGCTCCGCGGCAGTGAAATTTGTGAAACTTGGGTGGGTTCAGCATTCCAACAAGTGGCAGAACAGGGCTGCACTTGCTTGTGAGAGAGGCTGGGACTCAGGGGGGAAGGGGAGAGGCTGGCCCAGCACTTCTCTGCCTGGCGGGACAAGGGTTCCAGCACCCGAGGCTACGCAGGAGGCAAGCATGGGCAGTTTGGGACTTTCAGATGTGGCACCAAAGTAGCATGTTGTACCATCTCTGCAAGTGCGAACAACTGCTGTGATCTTGCAAGATACGTAACTTTGGGACCTGGTTGTAAATACTTTTGGCGGGGAATGTCATAACTTTGAAACTTCACTAACCTGAACATTCGTAACTCGGGGAGTTATTAGTAGCAGAAAAATGTGTAAATTAATTTCTTTCTCTCTTAACCCTGTTCTGCTCTGCCTCTGATCCTCCTAATGTAACTCTTTATTTACAATTTCATACTGGAAAAATAATATTTTTACTTGCTTTGCATCAGGGAGTTATTCTCAGATTTTCTTCTTTTTTCTTCCTTCCTTTTTTTACTCATGACATTACAGATAGATCTAATTTTATTATTGTCAGTAGGTTGGATGAGAAACAAAGGGAGCACTAATTTTTTTCTTACAAGCCACTTGTCCACTAAGAATACCAAACTAATTTTTCAGTCATGAAAAAAAGGAAAACTGAAGAAGTCTAAGGATTTCTTTCCTTGTGGGTAATCATTTCCACAAGAGTAGGGTTACAGGGGTAGAGAGATCTCCTCCAACACAATGTCACATTTTGCTATCTTAAAGTAACAATGAAAGATTGACATGTTACTTGAATTACAGTTTTCTTTTATTCCTTCTTTCTTCCTATTACTCCTCCTTCCTCTCCATTTTTGTCCTGCTGCTGTACTTCCCTGCCAATTTCTCTCTCCCTATTACCAGTGTTTCAATTGTACATAGCATATTTCACACACATTCCCCATTCTCAGCAAGCCTGCTAATAATGTTCTTTGATGAGGATAATAGTCACTGCCTTATTAACCATGTCTCTGTTGCAGCCTTGGTCAATGCAGAGTCCTGGGGAGAAAGTGGGAAGTGATTGTGTTGTTAGAGGCTGATGCCAGGCAGACAGAGATATTGCCGTTGTTTGTTCTCTCTGTGAACTGTGGTCATTATGTTTCCAAATTTGAGTATTAAATTATACTTGAATTGATAGAGGCAAGAGGAGACAAGATCCTCAACCAGAAATTACAGCAATCTATCTCCGGAAGGTCTTTCAGTCCAAAGTTGTTTATATTCCATTCTTCCAAAGCAACTTTCCTCAAATGAAAGTTTCTCAAATATGGGACTATAGCTTCCATAAACCCCAATGGCTTGGTGTTCTGTACAAAGCAGAAATATACTAAACAATTCAGAATATATTGCTGGGTACCTTAGGCAAGACAGGACAAGAGATTGAATGCTGATTTAATACTTTCTCACAGGAAGAAGAAATGGAATCCTAAGATTTCGATTCTCCATTTAGTTTTTATACGTGGTGCTAACCCAGAATTTAGTACTAAATATGACCCAGGTATTTTATTCTGCTTCGGTCACGTCATTCAATGTAATATAAAGAAGAGACTCAGGAGTTACTTGTATATTGTTCTTTAACATGACCAAAATTATAAAGAACCAGTTCTAAAACTGTACCAAGAATTTTGGTACCATACTGTATATTTATAGGTGATGCACAGACACTATTAGGCATTCCCATCAGTAGGTTTTCCTCAGTTTAGTCTGAAAACATATTGAACTATTTTTTAAATGCATAGCTTTTTCATACAGAAAAATACTATTTGTTTTGTGAACAGTGATAATACTGTCGGACTACCAGCAAAACTCTGAAACATTGCTAATCTTTCTGTCTCTCTCCCCATTGTCAGTAGTGATTTAGACCAGAGCTCCCAAAACTTTTAGGCACCAGGGGTTGGTTCTGTGGAGAGAGGTTTTTCATGGACCGGAGGGGGCGTGGTTTCATATACTACCTGCATCCTGCGGATGGGGCTTAGTTTGTTTGGCATGCTGTGGACCAGTGCCAGTCCACGGACCGGAGGTTGGGGACCCCTGATTTAGACAAATATAAAATTGTCATTGATAATATGCAACACAGACAGTAATCATATTCATTCTAACAAATGGGGTTTTAACAAAAGTTAATCCATATTTCATCAACAGTCCTCTGAAACAGGACTGAAATAGGGGCTAGATGGTAACCTTTTTCTAATCTTCATAATCTATTTGCCTGTTTTTAGACTCACGACCCCATGTGTTATTTTGCTGCCTAGAATAAAAAGACAATCCTTGTAGAGAACACGGTTAGATCAATAATAAGATCCAATGGCCCACTTCCTCACAGGCAACAAGACCCCTAGAAAAGACCCTGACAAGTGATGTGTGTGTTGTTATTTATAAGAAGACAGAGACACAAGAGGTGAACAGGTGTGGTTACTAAATTCAGTTTTGATTTAACTCTGACCCAGTTAGAAATTGAACATACTACAAACAACGTACCATTATTATTCATAAGACAGGTAGGTTCAGCCTTTGGTAAATATCAATTTTCTTATAACCCCCACTTTCTAAATAAAATAACTTATTCATGGTTCATTTCTTGTGCCATTCATGCAATATCCAACCCTCTTCATTTAGTCTGCTTGGCTTCTTAATTACAGAGTTGTTCATATCACTCACAAAGTAGCATATGGATGCCCTTTGTCATCCCAGTTGGCAATGATTGTTATAAGCTTTCTGCTCTGAGGAAATTGGTATTTAACAAAAAATTAAACTACTCATATATGTTAGCTTCTTTTAAAATAATATTTTAATTAAGAGGTTTAAGTACAATAATACAAGATAATACAAACTAAAAAGACAAAGAAAGATTGAAAAATAAAGGTGCAAGAAAGAAAAAAAGGAAAAAAAGGAAAGAATCTACAAAAGTGGCATTCCCACCCTCATCATGACAAGTATAAACATTTTCGCTATCTGTTAATCTCGTACTAGTTAACAAATAGAAACCTTCACTCCATATCTCTGCTCTTAACTATAGGCAAATCCAGTAAGCAATGTCTTTTCCAATCCAGGTGTCAGCAAGAAGTAAAAACAAATCACTAAAATAATCACATTAGTTAACAAGCACAACATTCTGTCTGTAAGAAAATCAGATGCACAATATCTTTTCCAGTCCAGATGTCAATAACTTCAGAAAGAATATCCCGAAGTAACAACATATCCCAACATGAATCAAATAAGCCAACTTTATAGTCCTTCTTTTTGCACAAAACCATATTTCTTTTTAATCCATTTGAATGATCATTATCCCTTGTCTCTAATTTCTTCAAAACTGTAACAAGCCTTCTTGTAAATTCAGCATGAAGAAATTATTCGAATTACTGTCTTGACTTTACATTTTTATTTTCTTCTTAATTTTTCTTCTGCATCATCCATTTTTTTTATATCCAGTGATAAATTCCTGTTCATGTTATTCTCCATAATCATGTCAAATAATTGTTTTCCTTTTTTCCCCTAAATCAGCATCCTCTGGTGTAACAACTTTTTCTGGGAAGAGGGTGTTCATAAAAACACGATCTAACTAAAAGGGTTGATTCAAAGTCCAACTGCCATTCTTCAACAATTTTTTCTGAATGCCGTTATAAGTTGCTTATCATGTTATGTCACCAATACTGAAAATATTTATGCATTTATTCTTTAAAATTAATTTCAAAGTCTTAATATTCGAAATAAAATAGTCCAACGTTCTCTGAGCCTTTAATCCAGTGGTTCTCAACCTGTGGGTCGGGACCCCATTTGGGGTTGAATGACTATTTTACGGGGGTCACCAAACAACGCAGTCTGCCATTTTTTCCCCCTTTTCCTTAGCTGTGCTACTCCCTTTTATAGACTCTCTTGAATAGAGTCTAATTCTATTGGCTTTCAAAAGCCAATAGGAATTGTCCAGGCTGTCTCTGCCCTGCTGAGCCTGCCAAAAGTCCCATTCTGCAAACGGTGCTGCACCAGTTGAGTAATCCTCGACTTACAACCGGTTGAGTAGTCCTCGACTTACGACCGGTTGGGGGTCACAGCATTAAAAAGGTTGAGAACCACTGCTTTAATCTGTTTAAAACTTTCTATAGCCCAAAACTTGTCTTGCTATTTTCTGTTTATATTGAATTCTTAAAGCTTAAAAAGATACAGTTAAACGTTTCTTATATAAGGATTGAAGGCACACCCAATAAACGTTTTGTTCTATGCTCTAGTTGATACTAATAAAAACGGTCAGTTCACCTTTTGTTCTATTGCATACTGCAGTGATGATGTGCTAAAGATTCAGGCAGGGGGAGGTGGACACTTTTACAAGCTTATTAAAAAATATGAATTGCATAATATTGAATTAATATATTGTTGATTGGCCTGAGATCCCCACACCCCACCTCTATATGGGGGTGTCCTATATGGAGGTGGTTAACTTCCACCGTTATTTATTGGTTCCTTCCATAGCTATCTTAGTTATTTTAGTGTTAATATTTAATATTTTAATATTATATATTATTTTTATCTAGTTGCAAGCTGCATAAAATCATTGATGGAGAGGGGTGGCATATAAATGAATAAAAATCAGTATAAGGCTAGAAAGTGAATAACAGCCCATGCAATGGACAATAGTACTCTATGTGATGTTAGCACAAACACCAACCAGCAATATGATCAGGGAATGGAGGCAATGTTGAATTAAACAGAGACCTGTTGTTTTCTATTGGTTAGTAACAGAATATAAAAATCACAAACTGAATTTTCAAATTTTATACCAAAAAGTTTCCAATGAAAGAAAAGTACATTTGATAAATTCCTGACAAATAAAATTCATCTCCTTCTTGCTTTAAATAGATGAGAAAATAGCTCCACCCAGTGGCAGATAATGAAGTAGGCTGAAAAATTAAAATTAAAAAGTGCATTTTGCTGCTCCATTGGAAACTTTAAAAATAGTATATAAAAACATATTTTCAAGACACGCTGTGCACATTCTCTGAGAGTTGGAAACTAGACTGCATTTCTTAAATGTATATATAAAAATATGGTTGTAGCAGGATGGAACCAGGATTCACTAAGCAAATGGCAATGCTCCAGAGAAGATCCCCATAGGACATTTAGTATACACCACGCAAAGCCAAATACACATTGGTTACCATGAGTCATGCAGATTGATATGGAGCCTCCATAATTTGAAGATGTTTTTCCATCTGTATTGTCGGATAGCAGATATTCAGAAAGACCATGGTTTAAATAAGAACTCAATCATTAACTTATTATTTGACTGTTTTTGAACTTTACACCTTGAGCCTGAGATGTATCTGAGTCCATTATGTGAGGCTAATAAGTAATGTAATCTGATGAAATGGTTGCACTGTGATAATGTTGAAACTATGCTTTTGTAAGCTTTTCTAACTTGTCTCATTTTTAAAACATCTTCTACAAATAACATGCTGCTATTTTGAAGAATGGGGATGTTGAGACTGCCTATTTTTTTTAGCATTTTGAACCTGATTGGATTATTCATAGGTGGCTTGCTGGGAAAAAAATGCAAGGATTAATAAGCAATAAAGATGATATAAAGTACAAGTAAGAATGGATAATTATGTTTCCATACTATTCCAACTCTTCTACACTCTGTAATGAATTCAGTTAGGGAATAACTATACACAACTTAGTACAGTATAAAACTCTCCCTGTCCAGTTATTTTATCAGTTTCAAATTGATTTCTGTTTCTGTTCCAGATCAATTTTATTTTTTTATTCAATATTGTCAGAATCCTGATGACCAAGCTTCGGGCCTCGACCACCTCAGAGACCATGCAGTACAGGTATTAATCTAGCTGGGGAAGGAGCAGTGCAAAAGGTAAAGGATAGAGAGGATTATAAGAAGGTCTGTCCTAAAAACAAGAGAAACTCCAAGAAGCTGACTGAAACAGCTGCTTCAGGAGGGAGATGCAGGAGGGGAAAGTCACAGAGTTCAAGTGGGAAGCAACAGTGTAGTTGGGAGAATGTATACCAAACCAACACCACCCCTTATTACTTACTTACTACTCCCTCAAAGAGGGCAGAGAATAATGGCTCATTGCCTGCATTGAAATAGGATTCAGTACTAGGCCAATTCAAGTTTTATTATCATGCCTTCTCCCCCTGATGAAAAAGGGTGTCTGGCATGGAAAACAGATTGTAGAGTTGAATGTTGATATCAAGTCCAATCTTACACCACAGTGAGATGGGAACATGTCTGGTAAAATCTACTACCTCAGACTACTGGTGAAGGATACAGTTTGTTAATGTTCTCATGTTACTGTTCTCATATTGCTTGTCAACAGTATCAGAAGAAGTTGCAATTATTCTTCGGCCTGGTGTCCTAATTTTCTATTTGCAATGACTCCAGCAGCAGAAAGTCACGCACACACATTGCACATCTGAAATTTATCAACTTCTCCCCACTTGTTCTGCTACCCAAGGACCAGCATAATAATTCACTGGTGCAGCAATGAGGTACTAAGATTATAGTCTGGATGGTAACATGTATCCTCTTTCTTCAGGAAAGCAGTGAAGGCCACCCTTGTGCTTCTTCCATTACTGGGAATAACCTACATGCTTTTCTTTGTTAACCCTGGAGAAGATGAAATATCCAGGATAGTCTTCATTTATTTCAACTCCCTTTTGGAGTCTTTCCAGGTAGGCTGAACCTCATAAAAATTAGAGCTGAAATGAATTAGAAGGGAGGTTGGGAACATGGCATTAATATAGATCTGATTTTTCAGTGATATTTTATATAAGATATATAAATACCTATCAAAGGTATTTTACATATTTATTTAACATACCGCTCCTCCATCATTCCCAATTATGAATTCTGTTCTGATAAAAGATAAGCTGCAGGAGCAGTGATTTTCACACACATTTTCCTCCTGTTTCAAGGAATGGGGGGAAACCACATCAACATAACTGAAGGAGAACCACTTGCTAAAAGGTTGACAGAGTCAAACGCTAAAAGTGTTTAGTGAATTTGTATTTAATTTAAATGTAACTACATTTTAAAAAATGCAACTAGTTGAAAACTCTCCAAGAATTGAATAATATTCTTTATGACATTAAAATTTCAATTCAGTGACATGTTTTGATGAAAACCCACACTGCATGTTGTATTCAAGGTACTGGAAGCCTCAGATTGTGCATTTTTGTTACAAATACTGTTATTAAACACAGGCACAATGAATCCCATTCTTTTAGTTAGCTACAGTCCCTTTTCTTGTGCAACACTGGAAGGAATATTTTGTATAGTTCAATCTTCTGATTAATGTAGAAAATTCAGAAATTGCCAATGTGCAAGGAGAATCTAGCAGTAGAGAGCCTATTAGATAATAGGCAGAAGTCATGTTGTAGAGCAGATTTACTGATTACAGACATGAACACTAGTATGTGCCTACTGAAAGAAATTAATCATTGAACTTGCTTCGTAGAAAGCCTGAGGAAAAAAGATCACGATCATTATTTTCCCTTCTCTAAACAGTAATTGATTACATCATCTTTTTTTTCTTCTCCATCCAGGGTTTTTTTGTCTCTGTTTTCTACTGCTTCCTGAACAGTGAGGTGAGTTGGGGTTGGAAATGAAGGAAATGCATGCCATCAAGGATATGCTTTTTATTTTTATTTTTTTAAAAAATAGTCTTAAGCTTTCTTTGGGAGAATTACTATTATAGGTTAATTAAACTCAGACTGTAGCAAAGGTATTATCAAAAGAATAAGTTTTTAAAGTTTCAAATTTTGGTTTAATTTTTTGAAATTGGAACTTCCAAATTTGTTTTAGTGTTTAAATGTTCCTTTTGAGGAACACCTTGAAGACAATGGCATCTGAAAACATGCTGGTCAATATAAATATAAATTTAATACCTTTACTAAATTAAATGTATATGTGTAATACTTTTTTTTGAAAAAAAAATAGACATTTGTGAGAGGAAGATATAAATGAAAACTTTAAAAAAAATGAGAACAATTTCAAGATGAGAAGACTTGAGTTTTTTCTCTCCAAATATTTTGTTTCTAGCTTTTAAGGAGAATTGATATAATGTCTAGAGTAGTCTTTCTCAATCTTATGTTATATAGGAATTCCCACCCAGAATGGTAAATCAGGCTAGCCTTTCTACAGGCAGTCCTCAAATTACGACCACAATTGTATCTTAAAATTTGGTTGCTGAGATGGTTGTTAAATAAGTTTTGCCCCTTCTTGCCACAATTTTACAACCCTTCTTGCCACAATTGTTAAGTAAACCACTGCAGCTGTTAAATTAGTAATACAATTGTTAAGGGAATTGAGCTTCCCCACTGCTTGCTTGTCAAAAAGGTGACCACATGATTCCAGGACACATCAGCCGTCACAAATATGAGCTAGTTTTCTGACATGACCATGGAGATGCTGCAACCATTATGTGAAAAACAGCCATAAATCACTTTTTTCAGCGCTGTTGTAACTTTGAATAGTCACAAAATTTATGAATGTTAAGCCAAGGATTACCTGTATTCCTAAAATAGGTGCAAAACATGGGTTTGGAGGATTGGCTTAAAGAGAATCAAGTAAGACAAACTGCACACTGGTAGTTTTATATCTGAACAAGGAACACTCATTTCTGAAGAATATCTGTGTCCAACTTACAGGGAAAGAGCTATTTCCTCCTTCTTTATCTTGCCTCCCCACAGCTTAGTTATCCAGAAATCAATTTCAGCCATTGCTTGTGATACAGCAAATCTTTTATTTTTTTTTCAAATTGAATCCTACTTCTATCATCATTTTTAATCAGCTGGAAAATATTGCTATTGTATCTATTTTATCTCAAAAGACCTATTTGTTGTATAACCAACTTTAGGTGAATTAATAAGTAAACGTACCATTGCTACAGAGTATCCTCAGGAATGTGATTACTGGGACTGAAATTTGCTCCAGATGATTGTTGATTTTTCTTTCAGAATTGTCAACCATTTTACTTACAGTGCTTATCCAGTGCCCATTGCCTTATGGAAAATTAAAATAGTAGCTGCCCAACATTAATTAAACAATTTTTCTCTAATTATTTGCATACGTTTCCTGAGAAAATAAGAATTTTTCACATGTGGACATTTAATACATTTTTCTTTGATAAAACATTGATAAACACACTCATTATAGATGATAGACTGTGGTTTTGCATTTATGAAAGCTAAGATTCACAGTGCACCCTTTAATATTTTTGTACAAAGCAGATTCGTTGTGATCTAAAAACCTTGGCCTTCAGGGGTTTTCCCTTAAAATAAATTTCATCATCTTCAATCAATGTGATCATATATTGGGCTGAAATGTTTCCAAAAGTTATGAGACACCCAAGGCAGCTCTAATACATCAAGAATGGCCTTAGTCTTCATTGAATCTGGGTCTCCTTTCAGAGGAGAAATTGGGAAGTAATAATGTTTATTTTTTGTGTGATTTTTTTTTTTTTAGGTCCGTTCTGCAGTACGAAAGAGGTGGCACCGATGGCAGGACAAACACTCCATCCGTGCCCGAGTAGCAAGGGCCATGTCCATTCCTACATCCCCAACTCGTGTCAGTTTCCACAGCATCAAGCAATCAACTGCTCTCTGAGAGTCAAAGTTTAGGGAGAAAACTTTTACTGTCTTTCCTAAGTTACAGTTTAGGAAAGGCCAAGAGATTTTGTCCGCATTTTGCGGACATTTTATGGTAGAAACTGTTTGCATTGGAAGGGAATGTTTGTGAGATTGGAACTGCAAGTCCTGGCAAACCAAGTGGTTCTGAGACAAGGTGAACTCCAAGGCCTACGACTGCAACGTTTCATCCTAAAAAAAAAAAAAAAAGTTATGGCCGATTTTATTTTCTAATACACCTGAAGATTTTTGTTATATTTGCTTACTGGTTTGGAAAATGGTTTATCTATCACAAGCACTGCAGAAAAAAAAGTTAGCAGTTGGAATTGGTGAGCAATAAGCAAAACAAAATGCAGCAAGATTAATCTTGGAATACTATCTCACAGGGTGCACATAAAAGGCTTTTTTTTAAAGGACTTATGAGTTCATTAAGATAGATGCAGCTAATTTCCAATACAAGGCAAAGGCACAAATCTCATATTCAGGACCATGTATCTGATTCCGTGGAATAGAGCTGGTGGACACTGCCATTATGTAAACTCCCTTAGTAAATATCCTTAGGACATCTGACTCCTCTATGAAGATTTAAGTGGTAAGAGAAAGTAGAGCTGTTCCCATGTTCTTCCTCATTAAATCTGCTGCAGGTGACGCCAAAGATCTAAAGCCTGGTGGACTCTCATTCAAGATGATGACTAACCTACTCGTTCCATGATTAACTGATTTTCACCATAGACAGCCTATTTGAGCCCCAAAATGGAGTGGGACAATAATGCATTCCTTTTGGTATCTCTTAATAAAAAATAGTACCATCCTTTAACCTTGCTTGCATTTTTTTAGGAATCTCCTGCACAATTCTTTCCTTGCCCAGAAAAATTTAGCCATATCTACATATGTATTACACTATGGAGAAAGGGGAGGGAGGGAGGGAGAACAGCACCAAGCACAAAATTCCCCCAAAATGTTGCTTCTTCACCTTTGCTTTTCAAAGCCAGCTGCTTAATGAAGAACATTTGAAAGCATGGTGACAATTCTGGTAACATCCCAGAAGTCATAATAGGAGATTAATCAAGGTTTTTTGTGATCAAAAGAAAATACTACTTTACTTTTTCCTATGATTATAAATTTGTAGGACAATTTTCACTGTAAATATAGGAATGCAGCTTTCTTCAGAATTTGGATTAATATTCATAAGGCTTCACTTGAATGCCTTATTTTCTTTGTCTTGGGCCACAATTCCCATAAAAATAGTTTCTGCATCATCAGCATTTTTGTTGGAATTTATAAACAAAAATCCAAGAATCTGTTCAAATATTAAGATCTGTCTCTTTCTTGTAATTTGGAGTATTCTTGTGTGAATGAAGTTCAGGCTCTGAGAGTAATTGAGCCATTTGCTAATAGCTTGATGTTAGAGAAGATCCTAGCAGAAGTGAGCTGCAAACAGGGAATTCCAAAAACTTTGCATTATATATTACTAGACAATCCATGCATCATTTGGGTCATTATTTTAGAGATATTTCTTTACCTAAGCAAAGGTAGGCAAAAAAAAAAAAAACAGTGGAAATAAGAGCAACTTGACTTCCTACAGACTTCTGCATTGAATTTCCTTGTGGAAATTGGAAATTGTCTTCCCTTCCCTTCTCAACAGGCCAGTAATGCAGCTGCAGGGAAGGGAATGTCCCAGTTTAGACTTAGTCTTTTGCTCCTAAGACACGTTTTTCATAGCTCAGACTATTTCTAATAAGCTTTTTATCTTTTGGAGAGAGATCTATTCCTTCTTTCCCAATTAACCTATTCTGATAAACTTTTTATCTATCAGAGAGAGAACTATTCCCTTCTTCCAATTAGCCTCTACAGCTTAATCCTTACCGGGCCAAATTGGGCTTCTCGTGAGCAAGGAGGCCTCGGCCTCTTAGGCCCGGGAAATCAGAGCATCGAGCCTCATCCAGAGACCAGCGCAGCCCTTTCAAGCGTTCGAGGTCTTCCTGAGAGTAGGCAAACCGGCTGAGACTCTCTGCAGTGTCCGCGGATCGTCCAACACTCACCTGTTCGTTGGAGGCCTTCCGGGGAGCCGACAGATTGTCGGGGATCCTCCACAGCGCCTGCAGGCAGCCCGAACCTCGACGGACCGTTGGAACTTTCCCTCAGAGTCAGCTGAGCGTTGGAGGCCTCCCGAAGCAGCTGCGGCCCGTCTGAGGCTCAGCCGATCATTGGAGGCTTCCACAGCACCCACAACCGGTTGGAGGATCGTTGGAGGCTTCTGAGGCAACCAAGCTAGGTTGAGACCACACAGAAACGGAGGTCTCCCTAGCTCTCTGCAGGATCTCTGCAGGCAGTTGGAATCCGGAGCAGGCAGCTGATCCTGCTTCAATGAGAGAGAGATTGCAACAGCTTCGGGGGACATATTCAGGTCAGAAACCAATTTCCTTTTAAAGGAGCCCAGACGCTTCCTACTGGAGCAGGACTTGTTTCTAAAGGCCTCATCTGAGCTGTGTTTCACAGCTTGAGGCAGTTGGGCCTAGAGAAATTTTGGCGCGATTCTCACAGCCGCCATTTTGTTTGCAGCATCCATTTTGTGTTCTAGCCTAGTCATCGGCTGCAGTCTGGTCTGGGGAGGGCAAGCTCATTCTTGTAGGGATGCACGCCTTATTTGACCCCATTACCCCCCCTCACCTGGGTGCAATGTTCATTGGATAGGATCTTCAGTGGTTGATTACAACGCTCGAGGGGGGGTGCTTCACCACTGAATTGATCTAACTGAGGCCTGTTACTTCAGTTATCATCTTAACAGCAGATAGGCCCAGGACTATGGCGGACAATTCTTATCCCTCATCCTCACAAGATAATGAAGAGCCCCCTCCCAAGAGGAGACAAAAAGCCTCTACTGAGGCAACAGGATGGAACACATCCAAACCCAGGGCAAAGTCCTCCAGGAAAACCAAGAGCAGTAGCAGAGAGAACCCTGCCACTCAGCAATCTTGGGATCAGGATTCATCCAGGTCAAGACCCACTATTCCTGTGGCCATGGATACCATCCCTTCTGGAGGGTCCATTTTTGAGCCTCTGTCAGCTCACTGTAATTCTGCACCAGGAGCCTGGTCCCCTCCTAGGGAGACAGTGCAGTCTGATCCTGACAGGGCAGCATTAGAATTAGTGGTACAGGGGTCTGCCAGCCAGTGTATGGCGGAGCTTTCAGCCACCTTTATGCCCACTGCTGCAGGACTCCGCCCCACAGAGGCTCAGCCTTTAGGAGCGGAACAGGTTCAGGCCATGATCAATCAGGCACTGATGCAGTTCAGGGCCACTTCTGTTCCACACCGCCTTCCTCAAGCATCAGCTTCACAACCTCCGCCTCGCCCTGATTCGCCAGACCTCACAGAGGATGTCTCATTGGAGTCGGGATCAGATGACTACGACTCCTCTCGTTTAATTCTATTGGATGATGAGGTCACCCCAGCATCGGACCCAGTACCACCTACCGGACTCTTCAATCACTCCCTCTTCAACTCCTTGCTCCTCAAGGTTTGCACCACAGCCAACCTTATACCAGAACAAGGGACCGCAGCCCCTTCCACTTCAAGAGGCCCAAATGCCATATATGCTGAACCAGTGGTGCCACAGAACCATGTTCCTTGCCCCCCCCTTTCTCAACGCGGTGCAGAAGCAATGGGATAACCTGGGCTCACTTCCCAGTCCGGGTTCCATTGAGAAGAACATGTTCAATGTAGCCCCTGCCCTCGCCTCCTTGCTGGAGGTCCCGCAGGTGGATGAGCCTCTGATGTCGCTGTTCCCCAACATCAATATTTCAGGGGACATACCCAAGGTGCTTAAGGCTGAGGATAAAAGGATTGAATCAGCATTACGCAGATCACATCAGGCCACGGCCTGGGCGATTAAGGCTTTAACATCCAGCCTTCTTCGCCAGAGCTTCGGTTCTGTGGCTGCATGAGCTTCAGGGCTTGGTTCCTCCTGACCAGCTTCGCGTCCATCAGAACTTGGGCAAGCTAGTAGCCACCTCTCAATACTTGGCCGACGCTTCCTTAAATTCTGCCAGGTATTCTGCACAAGCCATTGCAGCAGATGTTTCAGCCCGTAGACATCTGTGGCTTAAGAACTGGCGGGCAGACCTCAAAGCCAAGTGGCAGCTCGCCACCAAGTCTTATGCTAGGGGTCATCTCTTTGGTGCGGCCCTAGAACCCTACCTGATTGAAGGTAAGAATAAGCGCAAGTCTCTAGTTAATACTAATAAGAAGGGAGACAAGCGCACAGGGACTGGATCAACCCAGGGGTTCCATCGTAGGCAGTCCTTTCGGTCCATCCCTAGCTGGGACTGGCCTCAGCCCAACCGCTCCTTCTATCAGAGGTCGGAGTGACACCAGGATCGTTCCGCATCCAGAACCCGGCCACAACTCCAGAGCAAGCGGCCATTTCAAGGCCAGGGAACTCACCCCTTCAGAAGAGGCAAGTGATCCCACAGGCGTACCTCCCATAGGAGGCTGGCTGTCCCTTTACTATAACGCATGGACAGCCACAACTACAGATTCTTGGGTTCTCAGCACTATATCACAAGGTTTAATGTTAGAGTTTCGGTCATTTCCTCCGGACCATTTCTGGAGTTGCCCCGCCCCCATTAGTAGGAGTAGAGCGGCCCTCATGTCAGAGGCCATTTCCCACCTGTTACAAATACAGGCCATAGAACCGGTCCCACAAGACCAGGCAGGGCAAGGGTTCTACTCAACTCTGTTTGTTCCCAAGTCTTCAGGGGGCTAGAGGGCAATCCTTGATTTAAAGAAATTAAATCGTTACTTGCTGTACAGGAAGTTTAAAATGCAATCATTACAGTCAATTTTGGCCAGCATCCGGCGGGGAGACTTCCTAACATCAATAGACTTAACTGAGGCCTATCTCCATATTCCTATTCTCCCTGGGCATCGCAAATTCCTCAGATTTTGCTACAATCAAAAGCACTACCAGTATAGAGCCTTACCATTCGGTCTATCCGCAGCTCCTACAGTTTTTACAAAGGTATTGGCAGTGCTAGCAGCTCACTTCAGACAGATCCCAATCCATGTCCAATGTTATTTAGATGACATTTTAATACAGTCCTCCTCCTTCCAGAGGGCCCAGTCTGACCTCGCCCTCACTATTAGGACCTTTCAGGAGCACAGGTTTTCTGTCAATTTCCAGAAAAGCCATACTACACCTTCAACTTGGCTCCTTCATTTAGGGGCAGTAATAGACACCAGCAACTGCACGGTCTATTTGTCCCAGGACTGACAGGACAGCATCAGGGCCCTTGTGCAGAGAATTCGCCAGGACAAGGTAGTCACCTTAGCCTTATTATCCCAGCTGTTAGAGAAAATGGTATCCTGTGTGCACATTGTACCGTGGGCCCGTCTCCATGCCCGGGAACTGCAGTGGGTCCTTCTTCCCTTTCAGAAGCTATGCATCAACGCTTCCAGGCAGAAGGTTCGAGTTCCACAGTCGGCGTTGAACTCCCTTCGATGGTGGGCTTCTCCGGCACTGGCACGGGGCACAGAGTTCAAGGAACCAGCCAGAACTGTCCTCACCACAGACGCCAGCCTATTCGGCTGGGGAGCACACCTCCAGTCACAATGGGCTCAGGGTTGGTGGTCCCAACAGGACCTATTAAACAATATCAACTGGCTGGAACTCAGGGCCATTCATCTGGCACTACAACATTTCAAAAATGTGATAGCGGGTCAGCACGTATTAGTGCTTAAGGATAACATAGCTGCCAAAGCCCACGTAAACAGACGGGGGGGATAAGGTCCAAACCCCTTATGCAGGAGGCCAGATGATTGGGGTCTTGGGCAGAGCTGAACCTTGCTTCCATCAAGGGAGAGCACATATCTGGGGCGACAAATCACCAGGCGGACTCGCTAAGCAGAGCCACAGTGGACCATGGCAAATGGCATCTGGACCCGGGAATGTTCAGGGAGATCGTAGACAGGTTTGGTGCACCAACCTTAGACCTTTTTGCCTCCCCAACCAACTCGCAACTACCAAGGTTCCTTTCCAGGTTCCTGTCTCCATCAGCAGAGGGGACAGATGCCCTCCGCAGTCCCTGGCCCAGGGAACTGCTCTATGCCTTCCCTCCCTTTCCACTCCTTTCAGCCACGATCTGCAGGATTTTACACAAGCGGGTGGAAGTTCTCTTGGTCACTCCTCATTGGCCATGATGACCGTGGTTCGTGGACCTGGTGGACCTATCCGTCTCACCCCCATGGAGGATTCCGGCAGGTCATATTGCCCTCACACAAGGGGATATCCAGCACCCGGACCCGCAGTGGCTCAATCTAACCGTTTGGCATTTGAGCGGCAGGCCTTGAGCCAGGACTCATATTCGTCGAGGGTGATAGCTGTGATTCAACAATCCAGGCGCGCCTCGACAAATAGAACATATGATGCCACTTGGAAGAGTTTCTGCAATTGGTGCGCAGGACATAAGGTGGAACTCTCGGGTGTCTCGGTTCCTATTGTGCTGGAATTCCTGATGGATGGTTGGATAAAGGGCTATCCCCGAGCACAATCCGTAGACAGGTTGCTGCTCTCACTACTGTCCTCATGTGTGAAAATGCCACTCCTCTGACTCACCATCCCTTGGTTCATTCCTTCTTGAAGGGAACTAACAACGCCAAGCCACCACCAATTCACCGATACCCCTCGGGAGAACTGCAACAGGTCTTACAAGCTCTGATTGCACCCCCCTTTGAACCTATGGAGACATGCTCACTTGATTTGTTATCCATGAAGGTGGCATTCCTTGTGGCAATCACGTCGGCCAGGCATATTTTGGAGCTGGCCGCTCTTTCCATCAGGGAGGACCTATGCATTTTCTTCCAGACAGGGTAGTCCTCAGGCTTGACCCTTCTTTGTTCCCAAGGTGAAGTCTCTATACCATAGGTCCTAGGAAGTGGTTTTACCAGATTTCTTTCCTGACTCATCTCAGGACACGGGGAGACAGTGGAGCACACTGGACATCCGCAGGGCGTTACAGTGTTATATCAAGTGGACTTCAGTTTTCCGAAGGTCCAAGGCCTTGTTCATCTCCTTCCAACCTTTGGCTAAAGGTCAGAAAGTCTCTTCATCAATTATAGGGAGGTGGATCAGGTGTTGTATTGCCCTGGCATACAAGAACCAGTCATTACCGGTCCCTAGAAATATTACAGCCCATTCCACCAGGGGTGCTGCTACTTCCGCAGCTTGGGTGACACAGGCTTCTATAGGGGAAATTTGCAGGGTGGCCATGTGGTCTTCCCCTTCGTCCTTTATCCGTCATTACAAGATTGACCAATATGCATCCTTGAATGCCTCCTTTGGCCACAGAGTTTTGCAGAAAGTATTGCCATCTAGAACGTCACTGGCCCAAACTGACTCCCTCCCTTAGGGACACAGGGCTTTGGTAAGTCCCACTAGTGGAGTCTCCATCTAATCATGCTGGAGAAGGGGCGTTGTCTTACCTGAATGCCTTTTCTCAGCATGATGATGGAGACTCCACCCCCTCCCAGATAAGGTCAGTTGGTCCTGATTCCAATAATGGAAACGCAAATGTCTGTACATCGACTCAGTCTCAAACTGGGACATGGGGACACAGTAGAGGCGTGACTTTAACTCTGACTTAGTCTTATTGGAGCAGCAAGATTAAGACAACCCACTAGTGGAGTCTCCATCCAATCATGCTGGATAATGGTTGCTGATTAACTAGCTGGGCATTTCAGAGTCTCGTGGAGAGAATATCATTTGGATATTGATAAATAGAAAGGAGGGAATTGTTAATAACCCCTTGGATCTGTAAGTTTTTAAAATCACTGCTGGTGGGTCATTCAGTCAGTGGATATTGCCTTCCCTGGATATGTTGAAAATGACCACAGCAGCAACCCAGCAGCACTCAATCAGGCACAACTTCCCCAAATTTAATTCCCACAGGAGTCATGGGTCCCATATTTTGGACACATTCTGTAAATTAACCAATTTGAGGAACCTTGGTTCAAAAATGTTGCTCTATGATGCACCATTTTGATCAGTTAAAGGTCATGAGAACAAGAATTTTAATGATATATAGATTTAGAAGTGGAACCAATTCTTATTCCATATTATCTAGTTCTTAAAATTAGACTAGTAGTCAACGTTTATTAAGCCAATAACTTTTGTCAAATGCCTAATGCAAAAAGAGAGAAAGGGGAAAGGCTATGATGGTGGAGGTCCAAGCAAACGTCTACTTAATCACTGGTATTGTAGAAATCACAAGGTGTGTAAATCTGGAACATTTAAATTACTTATCAGAGCTCTTCAAGTACTGTCCAGCTGAATATAAAAGCCCTTTTGATAATATGTCTGAGTCAATAGCCTGGCAACAGGTAAAATCTATCAAACGTGCTCTATGTTTCAAAAATATATCCAGGAAGGCAATATCCACTGACAGAATGACCCACCAGCAGTAATTTAAAAACTTACAGATCCAAGGGGTTATTAACAATTCCCTCCTTTCTATTTATCAATATCTAAATGATATTCTCTCCACAAGACTCTGAAATGCCCAGCTAGTTAATCAGCAACCATTTTCTGGTCATTCTGAATAAACTGAATAAAGTAGCAATCACTCATTCATCTTTATAAAAGATTTATCAAAATAGCTATTGCTAAGTCAGATTAAAGTCTGAAGAGTCTTAAGAGTCAATCTTAAATCTGACTAAGTCTGAGGATGGGCTCCAGCATGAGTCTGAAAGCTCAGAAGAGTAAATCTCTGGTCCTGGTGACCGACTCAAATTCAATCTTGCATCATTATGCTGGGACACGTGTATTTGCCCTCATTCATAAGTCAGATTAGCCCACTATTGAGGCAATGGAATCCAATTCCTAATACCCATTCCAGCTAATTTGTCTAACCTGATGACTGTTTCTTGAAACATGCAGCATTGTCAGGTCATTCCAACATTGTATTTCTCCATGCAAGCTTTAATACACAGGCCTGATAAAGAGTAGATCTGCACTGGGTAAGACAGAAGAGATACTATGATAAAAAAAATTGCATACGCAAAAAAGTCATGTTTCATATCATCATGAGCTCCCTGATGTTCAGTTATAAAATGGAGAAGCTCCAAACCATTTTGAGGCTGTGACCTCAACCCCAAATACTTGTTATAATATGAAAGATGCAGATCAACTTCTGTGGAAGATTGTTACAAAATATTCTATTTGGTTCATACCTGTATACGTTCCGGGATTGAACTATGTGGTTTAAAAGAAAATACGTGGTTAAAAAAAATGATAAAACTAAGTTCTACTGTATTAGTTTTAAATCCGATATTGCTTCCCTAACCTAGAGGCCATGGCCAACTTTATGATGAAAAACAAAATGGCAGCCTTACATATATCAAGAATATACAAGTTGGACTATAACACTGGCCTGGTAAATAATCATACATCTGGAATTGCCTGTCACAGTAGTGTGGACCAAAATATTGTAGTCCTTACACAGCAGTAGCTTTACCATTCTCTTCAAAACTGGCTGAATTACCAGTAGATGTAATAAGCAGACTATTCTAAAATGTTCTAATCCAGAATTCTCAAAAAAGAGGCAGTTCCTGACTTTCTCCTCTAAGTTTGCTTTCTCAGGAGCTGATGGTTGTTGTTGTTGTTGTTAGTTGCAAAGTCGTGTCCGACCCATTGTGATCCCATGGACAATGTTCCTCCAGGCCGATGGTAAAAGAGCACTAATGACACTTTTGGAGGCACGGGTCATCTTTTCCCAAATTCCATGAACAGCAATGAAGTCCAAGTCACAACATAACACCGTTTCCCGATTCTGAACTACTGTTCTCTCATGACAGTTCCCATCAGAGAAACAACGGCAATCTGCTCAAAATGAGATTTTTGGCCAAGGGTAATGTTGGGCAATGGTTAAATTTACAAAAATAGGGAAAAGGAGGAGAATCATGTAGTGGACTATGTCAAAGGAAAAAAGAACTATGTCTGTGGAATCTGTTAATAAATGCCTGTTGTGATTGTGGTTTCCAAGACATAATCACACATCAGTGAATTGCAGTTAATTTTGAATAGTCAAACTTGACAAGCTATTACCAAGATAAATCAATAATTCAGGGAATGTAGCAGATGATCATGAATATTTCACTGACTCCATGCCCTATAAAGGCATGCAAAGAAGTTCTAAGGAGGCCCAAGCCAAAAAAAAAAAAAACAAAAACCTGTCAAGTCTCCAAATAGACGAGGATAAGGGGCTAATATGATGCCAGAATCAGAACTCAGATTGCCCCCAGCAAAAAATGCTATAGCAGAAGGGAAGACATCCTAAAGAGGACACAGTCTAGGGTAGACCCAGTGAAGAAGCAGTCACACAATTTCAAGCCGTTGAGAAAGCAGTAGGCCCAACTACAGGTGGGCATGACCCTGTGGCAACTGTATTGGCTTGAATATGTGATTCTAGGACATCAGTCACCCCAAGTTCATGTTGTTGATGTTCGCGAAAGACATAGCATCTGGTGAGGAAGTAGTTAAAAGATGAGCATTTTGGTGCCGAGATGCAGTAGTTGTGTCAGGGAGTCCCCCATGGGTTCGCTGATGGCGTTTGAGATGAGCCCGGCGAGCAAAGCGCTTTCCACAAGCTGTGCATGGATAGGGGCGCTCCCCAGTGTGAGCACGCTGGTGGATGAGAAGCTCTGAGCGCTGCAGAAAGCGTTTGGAGCAGACAGGACATGCATGAGGGCGCTCCCCCCGATGCATACGTCTGTGCTTACTGAGGTTTGAACTGACACTGAAACGGCGTCCACACTCTGTGCAGGCATAGGGTTGCTCACCAGAATGTGAGCGGATGTGAATAGTGAGGTCAGAGCGTTGCAGGAAGCGTTTCCCACACTCTCCACACCCATAGGGACGCTCCCCTGAGTGCAGACGCCTATGTTTGCTGAGCGCTGACCGTTGTGTAAATCGCCTCCCACACTCCCCACAGGAATAGGGTCGGTCAGGTTCTGGAGGTGGAGTTGGGGGTGGAGGAGGTGTTGCAAGGCCTCCACCACATTCCACACAGCGGCGTGATCGCCTATGGCGCTCTAAGTGGCAACCCCAGCGGAAACGGCGCCCACAGTCTCTGCACTGGTGTGGTTTTTCTGCTGTGTGACGTTGCTGATGCCGTTCCAAATTTGCTAGGATTCGGAATCGTTTGCCACATTCCTCACAGGCATGGGGTTTTTGAGACTGGGTAGAAGCTGGGTTACCTGACAGAGCCTGGGTATTCAGTGGCCCTATAGAATTTAGGGTCAAGGTAGAAGAAAATTCAGGGGCAGAATTCAAGAAAGGAATCAATGCAGAATTATGAGGGGAGTTAGGTCTTAATGATGGGTTTGCAACAGTTCTCCTGCATGACCCACAATGATGAGGCTTCTCCCCTGCGGGTAAACGCTGACGTCTTTGTGTGTAGTGTGGTTTTTGCCATCCTAAGAACTGGGCTCTTTCAACGAAAGATGGGCAGATTCTCCCAGCTTCCTGGGAATCATGGCTCATGTTTGGGAATAAACTGTGGTTAATACTCTCTCTAGGCTCAAGGCCTGCCCCCCATCTTGTTCCTAAAGGAATTTGCTGGGTAGAAGTATTCTTACACCCTCTCATATCTCCACGAATCATCTTGGGTTGTTTTGGTCCTGCCAGTCCTGGACGCTTGAGGGACACTTGAGCTTCACTTCCAAATGGTTTTCTGGGTAGCACAGCTGGTCCATCTGCTATTCCAGTATGGAGTTCCCTTGAAATCTCCAAGTTATTTTGTCCTACTGTTTCATCACCTGTTGAAGCAGAAATGTGGTTATAGTTCAGCATCTTGGAAAATAAACGTGGGTGGGAACATGTGACCTTCAAAATACTGGCTAAAAATCAGTTCTCATTAACCCAACCAATGGCCAATCTGGCTGTGATGGACTGGAGCAGAGGTTCAACAACATTTGGAGCACCACAGTTCCCCATCTATGAAGTTCCCTCTTCTACATGTTTAAGAGAATATTGCTAGTTATTTTCTTATATCAGATTACATAAGATTTAGATTCAGTCCCTCAGATTTCAATCAAAATAACTCAAGCAGTACCTTTAGTGTACAGCTCAGAAATTTGCTGTCAAACATTAATGAGTCTACAAATGGCCTACCTGATAATTTATTAAGAATAAAAGATTCAGTTCACTGGTGAAGATTTTTAAATGAAAAATTAGATTTCTTAACCACAATTTTAGCTCATGTGTCTGAATTCCTCATCATCCCAAACCAAATCCACGAAGTATTGCTAAATATATGCTATATTTTCATGATATTTTATTTATTTGATTTCTTCATCATTCTTCACCATATCACAGAAACAGACAGTTGCAATGTTTATTCTGAATTATAATTAGGACTGTTATACTTGGAATTCTGTTTCAAGATATGGCAGTCTCTATCTGGTAAAGATCCAGTAAATCTATCAGTCATTTTACATTACTCAAAGAAAGGGATTGAGGAATCAGGGAAATGAAGGTAGCCTAAAGAAGGAATCTATGAAGAAAGGATAAAAAGAATGCAATATATGTATCAGCGTGGACTTTTTTTTCCTGTTTTGCTATTAATAGGAAGAAAGGATAGCTGGGGGGGGGGGGCAGTCAGGGGTGAGAGTAAGAAGTTTTGAACCATGGAAGCCAAGATGATTTTTTAATATTGAGAAATAGCTCCGAATCATAGATAGTATTATGTATGCTTGAAGTATATATAAATATATTTATATAAATATATTTGGAATACATACATGCATGTCCTTTGGTAAGATCTGCCTCCACCCCCTTATCTTTCCACAGGAGCCTAAAGACCTGACTCTGCTGATTGGCCTGGGGTCCAAATGGGGAATTTCTATGCTGGAGGTGGCTGCTGGATTGATGGCAGATTCTTTCTCTCCCCCCTCCCCCGTTCTCTATTCTCCATCTTTTGTTAGAATATTGATGTATTCTTGTTGCGTTCTTTTTCATTGTTCATTTTATTTTTCTATTATTTTATTCTGATTTGTTTATACTCTTTTTATTTCTTCTTTTTTATTGTTATAAGCTGCCTAGAGTAGTCCCGTGGGGATCCTGGCAGGAAATATATTTAATAAATAAATAATGATCTGAATAAATATATTTAAAGTGATAGATATGGACTTGGAAGTTCTGTCATTGCTTGACCATAGAGTTCACTGAGTGATTTTAGGTTAGCCGTTTCTTTCAGATCAACCTATTCCGCAGGAATTTATTTACTCACTTATTTATAACAAATGCTTTTGTCATTAAAAAATCTAAGTGATTTACAAAAACAGAATACAATAACTTATATGACATATAACTCAATGAAGAATAAAATCACCATGAAATCATCAACATCATAAGTATAGGTAGCTCTTGACTTAAAACCATATATTAGTGCCTATTCGAAGTTACAGTGGCACTTAAAAAAAGTACTTATGACCAGTCCTCAAAACTGTGACTAGCACACCATCTCTACAGTCACATGATCAAAATTTGGGTGCTTCGCGACGAGCATATTCTTTTCTTTTCACAATTTATTATTTTTATTCAAAACATTAAAATACAAACTCCCAAAAAACTAAAACAAAACACAACTACACTACACAAAAAAGAGTGCATAAAATAAAAAAACAAAGCAGAGATAAATTCCTCCCAGTTGAATACTGATAAATATACTTCAAAGATAACTCCTCCCTCTTGTGAAGCAGACACCCAATTTATAAATTTCTAGAACAATATTTACCCAACCGAGTTAGCCTGACATCTATCTACTATATGGAAACATAGTTAACAGGCAAAACCAACAATTAAACTTCAAAACCCTCTGTTAACAGTGTATTTATTGTATTTCACATGCAGAAAATCCACAACAGCATCTGGTCTACTGTAAGTCACCACAATCATTGTCTCTGGTCCAACCAGGTTCAAATATTTTCGATTGATTCTAAATAATGAGGCTTTTCCTTAAGATATTAATCAGAATCTTTCCTGACAATTGGATTTTATTCCCTAAAATCATGAGTTCTTGCTGTGCATATTTCCACAGCATTTGTTGTCCAAAGAAGTCTCCTGTAAATTGCAACATAACATCTCTTAACATTTGTTTTCCAATTGGGTAGTAAAAATTGTAAATCTTGTACTATTGTCACTTGCACTTGGTTACCATCTTCGAACTGATTTAAAACTTTATCAAGCTTTTTATCCAAATTTTCAGTTGGATTTGTAAATTGAAAAATATTCTTTCTGCCCAGCTTTCCCAATAAGCTTTATCTTGATATATTGCTTGCATTTTGACTATATTTTGATATAGTCCAAAATACTTCAATAGTTAAAACTTTTTCAGCTGAAACTTTTACACTCAGATAAGAAAAACATCTTAAGGTTTGCCAGCAAAAAAAAAAAGAAAAGAAAAAAGATGTTCATCAAAAATTAAAAAATTAAGGCTATAATTTTTTTAAAAGGTTATAAAATACAAAATCTTGTATTTTGATACAATGTGATACAGATGTAAATCAAATCAGATCTTTTTTACTATCCAAATCTTACTGTGTTTTCCATGCTGAAAAGGCAGAAGTGATTACGGTAGCTAATAAAACAATAAAAACCTTTAAAATCCAGTAGGGAGTTAAATTAAATCAGCATTCAACTGGTTGATTAACATTTGAAGGTAAAAATCAGAAAGAAAAAAATATATCAAAACATGCCGTTAAAAACACAGATATTCTTAAAATACAGACAGCTGGAAGGAAAGATGGAGACTCATCCTCCAACTGCTCCCCACTAAGAATTGCAACCTTCTAGGTCTTCTTCTCAGGTAGGTCCACAGTCATTCAAGAGTCATGCTGAGTCATTCCTACTAGCTCCTGTTCAAATCTGGGAATTGTGCTGCCACACGAGCCAGTTTAGGCAGCAAAACCGGCTGTTTGTCAGGAGGGAAAAAAAAATATCGCTGATTCAGGATGCCATCTTAGGAAGACTCTGCAACTGGCACATATTTATGTTGGTTGCAACATCCTGAACTCATGTGGTCACCATGTGCAACCTTCCCAGTTGGCTTTCAGCAAGCAAAGGAAATGGGAAAAGATGAATTCACTTAATGATTCACTTAAAAACCACAGCAAGAGAGGCTGTAAAATCAGGCCCAACTCACTTAACTATTTCTCATTTGATATTTTTGTCAAATCCCTTGAATTAAAGTTTCACATCTTCACTTTGCTCACATCTTGAGTGTTTCATTTCAAATTCAGTGTGTAGTGTACAGAGCCTACAAACCCCCTATTTTTTTGCCCCAGTCTATATAAACTTGACCGTACATCCTAAAAGTGTGGGTACAAGTGTAGGCAGAATCAATGTCAGTTTTGCTACTATAGAGATTCAGTTAGAAGAGATCCTCTCAGAGAAAACAAAAATGTAAATGATATAAACAACAGTGATTTTAGAGTGTAAAATGGCCAATTTTGGGACTGCAGAGCTCTTTTTAAAATTTTAATATTTAGGACGGGATAGGCAATATTTTTATCCAAGAGTTGGATGGATAAATATACATCCATATACATTTGTCCTCAAAGGGCTGCAGGAGGCAGGGTTATGATATTACTAATATTGCCAATTTAAATGAGGGAAAATCAGATCCAATTTGCTGGGGATTTTTTTTCTTTAAAACCACTCAGTGTCACACTTGCTCCAACAAAATACCTACCTCCATGTCGAGGGCTCCTGCTCACTTTTTTCCGCCGCCTGACTTTTCCCTGCTGCTCCTGCTCCTTCACCAGCTCCCTGAGCATCTTCTCCACTTGAGCCTTCCCTATAGTTTGCAGAATTACCCCCAGTTGCCTCCGGATGTCTGGAAAAATCCCTTCCCCACTTGACCCAGCTGTAGCAGCTGCTGCTTCGCCCTGTAAGGGAGCCAGCTGCCCTTGCTCAGGTTCCATTTCTAAGCCTATGAAGGAAAAGCAATACAATATTTTATAGAAATCCTGCAGAAAAGGGAGATCAGAGTTCAATAGAGAATATAAAAACAAACAAGCTGGAGAGAGGGAGGAGAAAAAAGGAAAAAAAGAGATGGGTGTGTTACTTTGATCCAATCTGTATTTTTTCCAAAAAAGTAAGGATAAAACATTGATGTTGTAGAATATATCTGTATTAAATAGAGCAAGGTTCAGATCAGTAACCTGATTTGACAGGATGTTGCTTCAAAAAAGCAAAATCTGTAAACTGCTGAAAAAATAGTATCACAGATCAGACTCATCCTGGTTCCTGGAATCATGAAGTTCCATTTATCCAATCCCTTGTCGCTGATTGTTCTAAAGCTCAAAATATGCTATTTTCTCAGTCTGGATAACGTGTTGTTGGGCAAAGCTTTTATTTTTGTTCTCAATTTGATTATTAAATGCTGAATTGTAGCTCCCATCAGCCTTATTAGTGTAGCCAATAATACAGGATGATCCTTAACAAATGAAGAACATCAGTGACCCTCGGTCTATAATCTATCATTAATGCTAACCTTAACCCTTTATTGACAGAATCCATATATTAACACCCGGGCGCATTTTTAAAAGGAATTTTACCTGTAATATAAAATTAAGGCAAATATTTATTTCAGTCATGAACCTATTTATATTAATAGCAATAGCAATAATTCTTAAGACTTATATATTGGTCCATAGTGCTTTACAGCACTTTCTGAGTGGTTTACAAATGATAGCATATAGCCTCCAACAATCTAGGTCCTCATTTTACTGACTTTGGAAGGATGGAACTCCTGGCTGTGGGTGGAGTTAGCTAGCAATGATACATTCTAACCACTACACCACAATGGCTCTTAAATTAATAATTACTCCAATTTATTTAATGATTTCCCTCTCTACCATATTAACATATATAATGTTGCAATAACTTCTGGAAGGATTCTATACAAGCCTTTTGGGTGTTTTATATGAACCTGCAGTCACAATGCTCACAATCTGGAAATGGAAAACTCACAATTTGGAGATGGGGAACTATTTAGGATCCACTCAGCAAAAATCACCATGGCTTTTCTTAAAGGTCTTACCATGAGCCAAACCTTGACGTCCTCGAATCTCTGTAAAGGCAGTTATCCGGGGCCAGCTTATGGCAAGTTCTTCTGCTAAAAAAAAAAAAAAAAAGGGCAGAAGAAAACACATTAATAAACCCAAGGTAGATTCTGACTTTTTTGTTATCACTGTACTGTCAAAATATAACAGACTTCTACTACTCAGATAGCTTAGGATTGGCTTAGGATTGTTGGCTTAGGATTCTGGAAATTGAAGGCACCTAGATGGCATCAGATCAAGGAAGGTTGGATGAGACTAAACTAGGCAAAAACCATTAAATGTTTGATATATAACTTTTGGCGAATTCAAGATGTTCAGTGTTTTCTATTTTGCTGAGCAGGCTTAATATTGTACTCTGAAGTGCACCGGCAGCTTATTTAGATTTCCTCAGTAAGAGCAATTAGATTTTATTGATAATATTCTCTGAAACTTAGTGCTGGAAATGCAGCTCTGGAAGAATCATTGCTTTGTACTATTATCTTTTTTGCCCTTCATTAATCATCCCCTTCCCCTTCCCCCATGTAACAAGCAGCTGTTGGGAAATTTGGGGACTAGCTTCAAAAACAGAGGTTAAGTGGTCTGGTGTCTTCCATTGGGGCTATAATTCCCATTAGTTGCCAGCCAATGAATAACCAAGAGTGGTGCTCTAGTCCAAACACCCAAAGGCAATCTCAAGGCATTTATGCATTTTGAGTACAATACAGTATCCATAAAAACTAACTCACAAGGAAACTGGTCTGTATTAATTTCACAAGATGCCCTAGGCAGGATTCTTTCATAGACATTCTTATGTAAAAAGTGATTTCTTACAAGTAGCACATTTTGAACTCTCCATTTAAGTGCTTTATTTTGTTTTAGTAGCCTATAAGTGTGAACAGAACAATTCTTCTGTTTTAGTACAATTCTGCATCAATCACACTGAGAAACTCTAGAATTTAAAGAATATGCTATTGCACTAAAAGTTTCAATCACATGCATGAAGTAAAAGGATTGGAAAATAGCTTGAATTTGGTACCATCACACAATTTTATACTTGCCCATCTTCAAAATCTGTTAAATTGTTCTTACAAGACATAGCACCCATTAGTCAGACTGCTATGTGGATCCACAGACACAACAATGCTCATTTTTAAGATTTAACTACTTATTCTCTGAAACCTTCCCTGAATAGGTCTTATTTGGCTTCATTTTACTTATAACTGAAATGATATTAATACTTTCCCAGCTTATTATAAGAACATGCAACTGAGGGTCAAGTTCTAGTCTAGCACTGAAATTTGAAGAAATGGGATCCCTTACCCAATGAGATCACTGTTTCATAGCTCTCCTGCATGTTGGTCCACAGAAGAATGTTCTTTCTAAAGTTCTTGAAGACTTCTCTATCTCTCTCAAGAGGCTGCAGAGAGCACTTAAATCAAGTAAAAAGTAATTGAAGAATCTGTTTGTCACAGAAATCATTGAGTGTCACTTCAGTGATCTTGGCAATCAGATATATAATAGTAATTTAGATTATTATGTCAATCTAGAAGCCTAGATCAAGAGTTGCTTTTCAGAATGAGATGGGCAGCATATAAATAGAGGATGGATGGAGACAGATAGACAGGCAGACTTACAGGGGAAGCATAGAAAGCAAGAAGCAGGACACTAAGAGAAAATAGTGCTTGAGGGTTTGGCATAAGATTGAAGATTATATTCTCCCAGAGGTACTTCTATTCCGCTTTTGAACTGAAAGGATGAACTATGTACATGTGTAGGTGTTTGTACGAGAAAGAGAGAGAACAGATGCACACCCATGCTCCATATATGCAGCTCCATGTATTATATACTGGTGCCGTTTTCACATGTTGCACAATAAAGGGTTTCCTCTTAATCATATAAGACTTAAAACAGCCATCTTGATTCTGGTGAACTTTATCTATACTGGAATATACAAAACCTAAGTTCTTAGTCAGTGAATTAATTGGAGCTGTGATCTGAATACATTTTGAGGGCAGTAACTTGGGGAAGGTTTTTTTTTCTGCCCAGTGAAAACTGTGGATCCTTGTTCTTAGGGAAAAAAGGAGCAATATGTTACAAATGATTATAAATATAGGGAATAAGTTGACTGTCCTACTAAACATGTAGGGCAGCATACATATGTATAATTTTAGAATATATGCTTTCAAAAATACATTTTAATGTAAATTGTGATTTGCAGCAGACGTATTTACAAATTATCACATCACATAGGCATGGCTATCCCAGATCTGAGAGTGAATGCAGCTTCTCTTTAGAAGTACAGTATATAAAATGGTAAATCTGGGTTTCTTTCTTTATTACAAATAGTCCTTAAGTTCTCTATACTAAAATATAAATTCTTATGCCTAATGGTATTTGTATCATTTATTACAGCTAAACAGCTAAAATTTAACTTTTTAATGGAGAAAAACAATACTGTAGGCATATATGAAAAAAATAAGAGATGGCATGCTGTGCAAATTCCAGTGGGACAGCAGAATTAGTCTGTTGTAATCAAAGCAATTATTATTTGGCATAAATCTCTCATAGATTAAAATTTCCTTTTTCAAATATACAGCGTTTACTTTAAGGACCTATACTAAACATCTCCCAACAGCAAAGCTTCAGAAGCTATTACACATCCCCTGGAAACAAACTATTTCACAATATGGGATAATATACGTATGCTAATGAATAGGCATATCACAGGTGGCACCAAGAACACTGAAGTTATTTATTTAAAAGATATGTAGAGCTGCCCATCTTTACTTAAGACAATCCTGGGTGGATCACAATGTTTTGGCACAAGAAGGAGCTCTAAATTATCTGGAAGTTGGCATGTGGGAGTGGATACATATATGATATATATCTGTGAAGAAGGTGGGGTCAAGGGGACGGAAAAGATTACAAAAGGCAATTAACACTGGACCCTCCTCATCCCCTTCCTCCATCAAAGTAACCCATCCTCACGTGGTACTACAGTATTGTCCCTTCCTTTGGGATTTGCATGCAGATCTGAAAGTCCAGCCAAGAAAACGGGAGATCAACCCCAGACCGAGATCCATCTATGTCCCGCATAGCCTCCATTGTTTCCTCCATGTGCACGGGATCTTGCGCTGGGAAGGGGAGGCAGTCCGGGTACGGGCTGAAGGGGCCAGATTCTTGTATGCTTCTCTCGCACCCCCTACACTGTTCCACAAGGTTTACCTGCAGTAAGGCACAGACTACAGCGTCTGGCGCCTGCACGGGAATGGTGATGAACGATTAGAAAGCCCACCCCCCCCTCCCTTGCAGGGAACTAGGATAAAAGAGAGAGGCTTAGGTAAACCAGCTGCAAGATCCAGGAAGCTCAATTCCACATCCTGGCTGGAGAAAAGAAGGAAAGAGAAAAAGAGAGAAGACCTTCATTTCCCGCGGTCGGCCTCAAAGCAGGGCCCTCTTGCGGTTGATAGATCTTTCTTCTCTAAGCTCTCTTTCCTTCCAATTTCTGTGCTTCTTAAAACTAAATAGGCTAAAGAGAAGAACCGACGACATCCCTGATGTAGTAGACCACAAATTCCAAGAATCGCAGCCAGACGGGCATATGGTAAGGAATGCTGGGAGCTGTAGTTCTGCAACCTGTACAGAGGCATATATTCCCCCCCCCCCAGGAAATATATGCTATCTCGTTTTCTTCCATGTAGTGTAATGGGGGGGGGAGCTAATGGGATTAGAAACAATGTAGAAATTTTGCATCTATATATATTTCTAAAGTGAATTTTAGGAATCTAACATGTATGTGACTTACACAGGTATACCTTGTTTTTTGAGCTTTGCTTTATTGCAAATGCTTGCAATTGAGGAATGTACATTTTTTAGACATAAATCCATTGCAAACTTAATAAGACTACAATAGAGTGTAAATATAATTTTTATATGCACTGAGAAACCAAATTATTTGTGTGTGTCACTTTATGGATTACATAATCCAGATGGATTACATCCCAGAGTTCTCAAGGAACTGGCAGATGTGATATCGGAGCCACTGAACTATATTTTTCAAAGATCCTGGAACACAGGGGAACTACCAGAGGACTGGAAAAGAGCTGATGTAGTTCCCATCCTCAAAAAAGGAAAAAAAATGGATCCAGGAAATTACAGACCTATCAGCCTGACCTCAATACCTGGGAAGATCCTGGAAAAGATAATCAAACAACGAATCAACAAACACCTAGAGGCAAACAAAGTCATTACTAAAAGCCAACATGGGTTTGTCAAAAATAGATCATGCCAGACAAATCTTATTGCATTCTTTGACCAAGTGACAAAATTAGTGGATCAGAGGAATGCTGTGGACATAATTTACTTGGACTTCAGTAAGGCATTTGATAACCCAACCCAGGGCTCTGTTCTGGGCCCAGTACTCTTCAACATCTTCATCAACGATTTGGATGAAGGGATAGATGGGGAACTCATCAAATTTGCAGACGACACCAAGCTGGCAGGAATAGCCAACACTCCAGAAGACAGGCTTAAGATACAGAAGGATCTGGACAGACTTGAACACTGGGCACTAACTAACAAAATGAAATTCAATGGTGAAAAAAGCAAGGTTCTACATTTAGGCAAGAAAAACCAAATGCACAAGTACAGCATAGGTGGCACCATGCTCAATAGTAGTAACTGTGAGAGGGACCTCGGAGTCCTAGTAGACAATCACTTAAATATGAGCCAGCAGTGTGCTGCAGCTGCCAAAAAGGCCAACACAGTGCTAGGCTGCATTAACAGAGGGATAGAATCAAGATCACGTGAAGTATTAATACCACTCTTCAATGCCTTGGTAAGGCCACACTTGGAATACTGCATCCAGTTTTGGTCACCACGATGTAAAAAAGATGTTGAGACTCTAGAAAGAGTACAGAGAAGAGCAACAAAGATGATTAGGGGACTGGAGGCTAAAACATATAAGGAACGGTTGCTAGAATTGGGTATGTCTAGTTTAACGAAGAGAAGGACAAGGGGGGACATGATAGCAGTATTCCAATATCTCAGGGGCTGCCATAAAGAAGAGGGAATTAAGCTATTTTCCAAAGCACCTGAAGGCAGGACAAGAAGCAACGGGTGGAAACTAATCAAGGAGAGAAGCAACCTAGAACTAAGGAGAAACTTCCTGACAGTGAGAACAATTAATCAGTGGAACAGCTTGCCTCCAGAAGCAGTAAATGCTCCAACACTGGAAGTTTTTAAGAAAAGACTGGACAGCCACTTGTCCGAAATGGTGTAGAGTTTCCTGCCCGAGCAGGGGGTTGGACTAGATGACCTCCAAGGTCCCTTCCAACTTTACTACTAATATGAATATTCCCATATAGGGAGTCCTACAATAGTTCATTTAGTAACTGTTCAAAGTTAGAAAAGCAGTGAAAAAAGTGACTTATAACCAGCATCCCCATGGTCACATGATTTACATTTGGATGCTTAACAACTGATTCATAATTATGACAGTTACAGTGTCCTAGGATCATATGATCATCTTTTGCAACCTGACAAGCAAAGTCAATGAGGAAGCCAGATTTACTTAATAACCATGTCATTAACTTAACTACCGCAGTGATTCATGTAACAATTCTGACGAGAAAGGGCATATAATGGAGCAAATTCACATAACAACTATCTCACTTAACAACAGAAATTTTGGGCTCAACTGGGGTCATAAGTAGAAGACTACCTGTATATGCTTCATTGTGGTGGTCTGGAATCAAACCTGCAATATCTTTATGCCTTGTATGCTGCTTCTCAAGATACCGTATTTTCCAGCGTATAAGGCGATCCGGCGTATAAGACGACCCCCAACTTCGGCACCGAGTTGCATGCCTAAAAAGTCGTCTTATACGCCGGAAACTACCGTAATTTCCGGCATATAAGACAACTCGGCTTATAAGACGACCCCCGACTTCAGCGCTGATTTCAACGCTTTAGAAAGTCGTCTTATACACCGGAACGTACGGTAAATTTGATACTGGCAAAGCTGAGCTGGGAATAGAACTAACAGTCAAGGGAAATTATTAAGAGATGACTGCAAAAGAATCACATTAATTATACTTAATAATTCATTAGTTGTAAATGAAATGATATTTGGTATTGTTTTTCCAGCTTCATGCAATATATTCTGGAATGTGGGTCAAGGGCTGCATATGCGTATAGTGCATATGCAGCCCTTGGCCCAGAAAAGCTGCCCCTTCCTGGATTCTACATCACAATAATTAAAATTATTCAATAGAATAGGAAAATTAAATAACAGCTCAAATGTCTACGGTTGTCCTTTTGCATCTCAATGTGACTAATTATGACAGTTTAGAGAAGGCAAAAACCTGACAATGCTCTGGTGTCAAAGCCAGTCAGCTTTCTCAGGAACGCCAACAATAAACCTGGGATTTTTTCATAGATATCTACAGCAAAATCAGATTACATCAAAATAGCGAATTGTGATTGATTTCATGATGCATTTGTATCTGGACATGTTTGATTGTATCTTTGGGAAAGTGGGAGATTAGTCATTTCTTCTTTCCAATTTCTCTCTGCATATAGCTCCTGCATTTGTATTACAGGTAATCCTCCACTATAGCTTAGCTATGGTTCAAAGTTATGACAAATCTCCCCCAAAAGCTACCTAACCATTATATGATTTAACAACCTGATTTTGAAGTTGCAATGGACGCATCTCCATCCTGGGATCACATGACTGAATTTTGGTTGCTTGGTAATTAAATCTTGCAATTAAATCTCTCAAATTTGGTATTTTATGTGGAAATTGTATATGACATATGATGAAAGACATTATCAGTGCACTGATGATGATGATGATGACGATGATGATGGTGTTATCTAGTTTGGGTAATGAAACATTTGCAAGAAAACAACCAAGCTCAGAGAGTACCAAGGACCCCTCATTTTAACCTTGGGCTACAAATATTCTCCTTTAAAGGCAATTATGTTTCTAAAATATAGTATTTTAACTGGGATTCATATTTCTTTTAGTATGACACCCTTCCCTTTTTGTTTGTGTGACCTTTTGGATTCCCCAAAGATGCTTCAGAGCATGTGAAGATGCAGATGCAACATTTTCCTGCAATTCCTTAAAGCAATCCCACTTTTTCCCAAGATCATACAGCACTTAGGAAAGGACACAGCCCTTTTAAAAAATTGTAGACAGGTGCCAGTTTGTCAGTCCTATACAATTCTACACATATTTGGGTAATTGAATCCAAAGTAGTGCAGTCCAGTTAATGAACCACTGCAGATATACATAAAAGCTTAATGGTGTGATGTTACATATAACTCAGTATCAGTCTACTCATGGTTTAAGATGCTTCTTCTTTAAATGTCTTAAGAACATTATGTAGCAACAAGGAAGAAAGCTTTTTGATGGTAGCATTCCATTTCTGTATTCTTCTCCTGATTACAATATGTTGCTGATGATCTTAAGAGGTTTATTTCAGCATTTGTTTATACAGGTACTTCAATTGGCTGATATATTTGCCTATACTAGATTTGCATTCTTGGTCATTTTATGATAACACTTGAGCACAATTTTTTTTTATCATACATGTATTTGTTGCTGTTCATGAGAATAAATAATAAATTTATCATTTTATATTGCTACACCACTTCCTGTACAACCATCTTGATTTCTAAAATATAAAATGCAATAATAAAATCAGTAAAACAATGTAAAAGCATGCTCAATAAAAAGGTGAAGGAAAACGAAAATAAAAATAAATTATCCACGCACCTAGCATTCTGAAAGAAAAAAGATATGGGAAGAATTACAAAGATCTAACCTTACCATAGAGCAGGCCTATGTATTAGTAACCACCAGATGGCACTGTACTATCATCAGCACTGGTGATGCTACCTGGTCAGGTAATGTCTGTGAACAAACTCCGGAGGCACCAAGGACTCCACAGTCCAACCTTGAGCTTCATATATTCTCTATTTGTACTGTGCTATTCTTAGCACATGAAACAAGGCCTCTTCCAATGATCTCAAGTGTTTGACCAGTTCACACAAGTAACCTAGCCAACTCTTAGCGAGTTAAATGTCCTAAATGCGAGCCAGTTTGGGATAGTGGTTGTTGCGGTATAATGGTTAAAGCCAGTGGTGGGATTCAGCCAGTTCGCACCACTTCGGCAGAACCCGTAGCTAATTTTTTGTTGCCCAGGCCTAGAAGCAGCATCCACACAGAGAACTGGTTGTTCACATATTTGAATCCCAGCACTGGTTAAAGCACTGGCTAGAAACTAGG